AGCCAGGCTGGGCCTCACTCCAGCCAGGATCTAGAGTGTCTGGGCCAGTCCAGCCCCATAGACCCAGGTGTGAGTCAGGCTGTGGGGCACTGGGCGCTGACCTGCCTGCCCAAGCTTACTTCCTGCCATTCTGACCTGCGAGCTGGGGTGGGCGAGAGTGTGTGTGGATGAGGAAGATGGACAGATATCTGGAGCTGATTCAAAGCCCACTCACAGCCAGTGCTTCTGGCCTGTGTTGTGAGAACCAGCAGGCAGGCAGAAGAGCCAGGTGGGTGTAGGCTGAGCCAGGACCAAATACCACAGGCTTTGGGGGAAGATAAGTAATTTGGGGGGAATTCTGACGGCTACGGTTTCCTTTTGGAGTTGTGTGCAGTGGATTGTAGCAGACTGAAAGACCCTTCTAGAGTGCTTTATAAGGAGCCTGGTGTAACATGACTCCTAGTGATTCCTCTGGTACTGTGTGCCTGGGCGGGCCCCCTCCCACTGGGTGGTCCATAACACCCCCAGTGCCTGGGAAGAGATGGCTGGTTTAGCGCCGAAGAGTCCTTGTCTGGCGTTGGCCTGCACTTGTGCAGCTGTGAAGCAGCTCTGTGTCCGTGTGGTTGAGATTACCCAGGCACCCCCTTCCCACACTCAAGACATCACAGGTACACAGTGCTTTTTGAGTGGCTGAATTTTCTGGGAACATGCAGTTCAAGAAGCAGTTGGAGACAGATTATCACCTCTCAGAGACTTTTAAAATCTCCAGAGCGCGCCTGTGCTTGTAGTGTCTGCCTTTATCGGGCAGTGGCTGGACACACTCAGGGTTCTGGTCTGTGACTCCTCAGGTGGGGATGGGTGACTCTTGGCTTCGGCGCTGAGTACCAGGTAGGCTGCTATCCCTGTCTCTTTGCCCATGGACCAGGTCAGTGCCTGGTCAAGGATGTGAACACAGAGGGGGCTCTGCCATGAAGGCACTCGCTGTCAAACCTGAAGACCTGAGTTCAGTCCCTGGATTCCATGTGATGAGAGAATGGAGTCCTGTTAGTTGTCCTCTGACACAAATGTTCATCATAGCTACACGGTGGTGGTGTACACTTTTAATCCCAGAGCTTAGGTGGGTGGATCTCTGTGGGTTCAAGGACAGCCTGGTCTGCAGAGCTACTTTCAAGACACCTAGGGCTACACAGAAGCCCTGTCTAGAAACCTAAATAAAGAAGTATTACTGTGGTATAAAATCCACCTATCCTTACACAAGAATGGCTTCAGAGGCCCCGTGCTCCTTCTCACCAGTGTCCCTTTTTGTTTCTGTTTTTTCCCTTATTTTTTTTTAATTTTGGAGATAGGGTCTCACTGTGTGTTTAATTAAGAGTTCAGATTTTAAGCTAATGGTGCTAAGTCCTGCCCTGTACACTGTGATTGTGAAGGAGGTTCCTGGACAGGGAATCACTGATCATTCTCAGTGGCCAGAGACTGTTGTGGTCAGGGACCACAGAAGTGTGGTTGCCATTTAGTGTGTGTCCTTGTGTCAAGGCAAGACAGGATGTGGCATGTCCTAAGCTGGCTGTGAGGTGTGGTTATGCCCAGCTTGCCCTCTGTTATGTTCCAGAGATAGCCTTATGTTGGGTGTGTGGTAGTGTTAGTGCATGCATGTGCTAGCCTCCATTTAAGTTACTATTTATATATATTGAGTGGCTTGAAACACAGATTTCTTCTCTTCTGACTGATGTTTAGAAACCTGAGCTGTGTCTGCCGGGGCTAAAGCCAGGCTGCCAGCAGGACTGCCTTGTGCTGGAGGTTCTGTGAAAGAATCCACTTCCTGTCCTCTCCCAGCCTTTGGAGACGTGTGTTCTGCATCTCATAGTCCCACCTCCTGACTGACCCTCTCTACTCCTGTTGTAGGACTCTTCATGACTCCGCCATGCAGGCTGCATGCTACCCAGAACTCAGCTTAACAACACTTGCAGACCCTTTGCCATCAGGCTCTGGGGACAAGGACTCTTGTTCTTGGTTGAGGGACATACAGCTCTGAACAAGCCCACTGAACAGTGTCCTGTGACAGGCCTTGCTCTACCCTGCCCTTGATGTTGCGTATCTCCTTCCTTCCTTCCTTCCTTCCTTCCTTCCTTCCTTCCTTCCTTCCTTCCTTCCTTCCTTCCTTCCTGCCTTCCTGCCTTCCTGCCTTCCTGCCTTCCTGCCTTCCTGCCTTCCTGCCTTCCTGCCTTCCTGCCTTCCTTCCTTCCCTTCTTTTGGTTTTTCGAGATGGGGTTTCTCTGTATTGGTTTGGAGGTTGTCCTGGAACTCACTCTGTAGACCAGGCTGGCCTGGTACTCACAGAAATCCACCTGCCTCTGCCTCTGGGATTAAAGTCGTGTGCTACCAACACCCGGCTTCTTTCTACTTCTTTGAGATCAACTTTACTTATTTTCTTTTCAAGACAGGGTTTCTCTGTGTAGCCTTGGCTGTCCTGGAACTCACTCTGTAGACTAGACTTTTCTTTCAACTCCCAGAGATCCGCCTGCCTCTGGAGTGTTGGGATAAAAGGCATGAGCCACCACTGCCCAATGTGGTCAACTTTTTTTGTTTTTCGAGATGGGGTTTCTCTGTGGCTTTGGGGGCTGTCATAGAACTAGCTCTTGTAGACCAGGCTGGTCTCGAACTTTTTTTTGGTTTTTTGAGACAGGGTTTCTCTGTGTAGCAGTCCTAGCTATTCTGGAACTAGTTCTGTAGACCAGGCTGGCCTCCAACATGTATTGCATGGGGATATGTGGGCTTCAGAGGACAACTTGTGGCAGTTGGTTCTTTCCCCTGAGGGTTCTGGGGGTAGAACTCAGGCTGTCGTCCGTCATGGCGGCAGACACCATCTTGCCTCCATGTGAACTTTGCCTTTTGGTCCTGAATCTCCTCACTTAACACAATGCCCTCTACTTCCATCTGTGATGCTGTAAATGACTGATTCTCCTCAGTGCCTAGACAATATTCCATGTACAGCTTTTGACTGTGGCTCTTGGCTGTTGTGAGTAGGACTTGCGGTCCTCACGCGCTGCCCTCAGTATGTGTACTCAGGAGTTGTACTGCTGGAGCACTCCACTGATGGCCTTGGTACCCCCAGCTCACAGGGCAACTGTTACTTTGCACCATTCCAACATTTGTGGGTTTTCCCCCCTTCTTTCTTTTTGGTAATTTGATAGCTCTTTGAATCCGTGGGCTCGCCCATGAATGGGTGTGACACTCCTTGTACTGAGTCTGTTCACCTTCAAGTACCCTGGTATTCCAGGGCCTCTCCTTGACCACAGCTGGGGGCTAGGATTGAATGAGGAAGGGAATTGATATATAGCCAGAGTAGCTGTTACGAGAAAAAGGGCTGTCTTTCCCTTACGGGAGAGTGCCAAAATGGCCAGAGGGATGTCCCTACCTGTGGGTACCACCCCCATTTGCATTTTAAAATTAAGATTAATGTGTGTGTGTGTGTGTGTGTGCACATGCACATGCGCATGCGCTCGCCCATGGAGATCAGAACAACTTCCAGAGTTGCTTTTGTCCTGCCACTGTGGGTTCTGGGTATAGGCCTCTAGGCTTGTTCAGCCAATGTCTTTACCCACTAGGCTGTGTCTGCAGCTCCCCATGCATTTCCTGGCACATAGTGTGTGCTCACCCACTCCAGCACGCAGCCAGTTTCAGGTATAGCCAGTGTTGGCTAATGGAATGAAGGATGGTAAAACCTGATTTGTGCCAGAGCTGACACCTGTGACTTAATGTATGTGTTGTGGGGGACACAGCTCGGTCTGCACAGATGTGATGTCAGTGACTGTGTATCAGCTTTTGTTTTTGGTGCCTGTTGTAACTGATTGTTGTTCTCTGTGCTTATAGTTTAAGGTCATGTTGTAGACATCTATCTTAAACATCACCTTAGCCGGATGTTGGTGGCGCACGCCTTTAATCCCAGCACTCGGGAGGCAGAGGCAGGTGGATCTCTGTGACTTTGAGGCCAGCCTGGTCTGCTGAATGAGTTCCAGTACAGCCAGGACTGTTTCACAGAGAAACCCTGTCTCAAAAAACCAACCAAACAAACAAGCGAATAAATAAAATAAACATCATCTTATTGGATATAAAGTGCCTCCCAGATACACTGATATGTTCTTCTAACCTGGGTAGCTTCAGGACAGAGTGGCAGACCTCACTATGACACCCACCTCCCAGTCACCTTTGCAGTCACCCTGTGATTGTAATGCTCAGTGGCTTTGTTTCCAGGGTTAGGAAATCATGGTCTCTTGCAAAGGCTTCAAGTTCAGCATCTTTAGTCAAGGCCGAGTGTAGAGCAGGTCAGCCTTAATCTCAGTTTCATTGAGCACGGAGCTCACTAATACTGGGGGAGGGGCGCTTAATGTTGGAAGGAATGAATGCGTGAGACAAACAAGGAGAGTGTAATAGACTCATGGGAAGGATGGAACCTTTCTTCCAGTCTTTGAGGTTTTGTCTGAGTGGAGAAGAGTTGCTGATGCAGTTTTCCCCCATACCCCGCTCTGTTGCATGGCTACTGTTCTCCAGGTGCTGGCTTTTTACCTCACTGAGCCCATACCTGACCCCCAGGCCACTTGCTGTGGTTGATTTCCCATAGTGGGGTTTGATCCCTCGGGCTCAGCATCTGTGACTCAGGTGGGCTGTGCACTGCCAGTAGTTTCAGTTGGTGCCTTTTGTTGGAGCCAGAAGTCAGGAGTATTGTTTGCTGTCTTGGAGAGTTGTCCTTGACTTGGAGAGCGACCGAGTGTGTCAAAATCTATTTATAGTATGACCATGGCAGCAGACTCCAGCTTGTCTCATCAGCACGTTATTAATGGGGGTGGGTAGCCCAGGCTGTCTGCAGAGCCACCTAAAGAGAGCACCTGTGGGTAAATGCTGAGGGCATTTTCCTTGGGACAGTCCATGGTTGTCTGTACATCTTAGGATGTCCTTGATTCCTGAAGGACTACCTCCTCTGAATCAGAGGACTGGTGACTGACTCCCTCTTTTTCATTCCAAAGGCAAATCGGGAGCGGTGCTGAGAAAAATTTCCTTACTAGATGACATTTCATCGCAATGTCCGATCGTTTGGGGCAAATAACCCAGGGCAAGGATGGGAAAAGCAAGTATTCGACTCTCAGCCTGTTTGACAAGTATAAAGGGAGATCAGTAGGCTCGGCCAGATCCTCAGGTAAGGCCTGGCCAAAGGCCCCTCTTATGCTTCCTTCTCTGTAAGATGTCCAGACACCTGGCCAGGCAGCTGTGTCCCTGTAGACCAGTCAGCGGGCTGCCAGGAGGAATGACGCAACGTGTGTGTTGTCTTTTCTCCCTTTAGTTTCCTGGTTCTGACTTGGTGGAATCTGGTGGAACAAGTTCATATGGGACTTGTTGCCACCCACACAGTCTTCTTGGGGGTTCTTGGATTGCTGCCAGGCCACCTCCTAGTTCAGGGGTGGTCACTGTGGGCTGAGCTTCCTGTGCCTGGCTCCTCCCTGGCATGAGCTCCCAGCTGCCTCTGCCACAGTCGATTGAGAGCCTTTGCAGCTCCAGCAGCCCTTTGTCTGTGCAGTCTGGGGAGGAGCTGGCAGGGGCCGAGTGACGGCCAGGCACTTGTCTTTGCTTGGCTTTGTCTTTCTCACTTGGAGGCTGAGCCGCGGCGGGAGTTGGCCTCTTTCCTCCTGTGAGGTGTGTGCTCTGTCCCATCCACTTTCCCTTGCAGTTATTCCTAGACATGGCTTACAGAGTCTCGGGAAAGTTGCCACAGCCCGGCGTATGCCACCGCCTGCAAACCTGCCAAGCCTGAAGTCTGAAAACAAAGGAAACGACCCCAACATCGTGATAGTACCCAAGGACGGGACAGGATGGGCCAACAAGCAGGACCAGCAAGACCCAAAGAGGTGAGCAGCAGGAGGGCGATGACGGCGTGTGTGTGTGTGTGTGTGTGTGTGTGTGTGTGTGTGTGTGTGTGTGTGTGTGTGCCTGTGTGTGTGCCTGTGTGTGTGCCTGTGTGTGTGTGCCTGTGTGTGTGCCTGTGTGTGTGTGTGTGTGTGTGTGTGCCTGTGTGTGTGTGTGCCTGTGTGTGTGCCTGTGTGTGTGCCTGTGTGTGTGTGTGCCTGTGTGTGTGTGCCTGTGTGTGTGCCTGTGTGTGTGTGTGCCTGTGTGTGTGTGCCTGTGTGTGTGCCTGTGTGTGTGCCTGTGTGTGTGCCTGTGTGTGTGCCTGTGTGTGTGTAGGGATGGGTGATCTGGGTTGGGTATGTGTCAAGGCTCCTTGCATCCTCTGCTCTGCAGTTTTGACCTGGAAGAGGGAGAGCTGGGAGTAGGAAGCTTGGCCGGGCTTCTCTTTGACTGTGTGCACTTTGCTCCTTGACTTTGTTTGCCAGGCCTTTGAGCCGAGTAGCATTTCTCTGGATTAACCCCCCCAAAGGAGTGTGTGCAGTGATTTAGGTTGTCCCCAGAGAGCCACTAGGTTGGGACTGGGGCCTTGTATACTCTGTGTTGGGAGAATGTAGCTTGGTAGCTTGGCAGCTGCAGCCTTAGGGGACTCAAGTCCTGGGCAGTGTGTCTCTAGAGAGCCGTCTTTGATCTCAGAGCCTCTGGGCCAAATGGAGAGACCCTGTCTCAAACAAAAACAAAACAAAGCAGTATTTTGCAGGCAGTTTGTGAGGTGCACTGTTGATGGGCAGTAGAAGCCGATCTTTAGATTGGCCTTGATCTCTTTCTCTCGGGGAGGAAGCCATGTCTGGGGACGGACTGCAGAGGCAGAAGCCTCCTGCTGGAACTTACTACTGAGCATGACAACCAGGACAGTCCGGTCTCCCTCACCCACGCCCTTTTGTCCATCTGCTGTGGTCCATTCATGCTGATGCCATAGGGAGCTAGACAGTGAGTAACAGTGACCCAGGATGCAGCCTGACTTAGAGTCCCCCCCCCAATCTTTCAAGCTTGTGCTGGAAATGGCCCTGGAAGCTCTGGGAATGCTGTCCCTACAGTGTGGCAGAGAGGAGGTACAGTGTGAGGAACCATGTAGCCAGTTGATATGCTGTAGGAGTGTTTGAAATGGGTCCTGAGCTGTTTAAACAGTTTGCAGCCAGGGATGATGGTGCACACCTTTAACCTCATCCCTCAGGGGATAGAGAGAGGCATATCTCTATGAGTTCAAGGCCAATGTGGTCTACATAATGAAATCCAGGCCAGCCAGGACCAAATGGAGAGACCCTGTCTCAAACAAAAACAAAACAAAGCAATATTTTGCAGGCAGTTTGTGAGGAGTGCTGTTGATGGGCAGTAGAAGCTGATCTTTAGATTGGCCTTGTGTGCAGTTTCCAGTCAGGCCATTTGTGGCTTGTTGGGATTTGGAGGATTAGTTCACTTCTGAGCCCCAGGGCCCCACCTTTAAGGAGGATCAGTCCCTAGCTCCAGGGATAGCAAGTGGGGCACTGTGGTGCACCCATGGGGTAAATAATGGCTTGGCACAGAGGCGTGGCCCGTGTCATCCACCAGCTCTGGGATGAAGTAGATGTGGTACAGTTCATTGGGATCTCTGCTGCCTCTGTTTCCAAAAGCTTCAGAGAGAAGAGGCCAGAGAGTGCTGCCCACCTCCTGTTCAGTCTCAGCAGTGACAGACGCCCTGTTCAGTCTCAGCAGTGGCAGACGCCCTGTTCAGTCTCAGCAGTGACAGACGCCCTGGTGAAGGCCACTTGCACGGGAGGAAGTGAATAGGAGCAAGTGAGGAGGCTCCCCATGGGCCTGGCCTGGTCTCCTGTGGTGGGACTTGGAGCCTAGGTTTGGGGGCTCCCTGTGGGCCTGGCCTGGTCTCCTGTGGTGGGACTTGGAGCCTAGGTTTGGGGACACAGGTGCTGCTAGCTGGAAGCTTCTGTTTTAGGTTAGAAGGTAATGTGAGGGGAGGACCAGTGGCCTTCTTTTTGTCATTCTCATGACTGGTGAGTGACTGGGGTCAGGTGAACTTGTAGCAGTGTGTCTGTGGAGTTTGCCCCTGGCAACCGCTGCTCCTTGCCAAGTAGGTGACTAGTTTGCCCAAGGTTGTCAAATGCAAAGTGCTGAGGCAGAGTGGAAAGCCATCCTGTTTCCTCTCAGACAGGTGGGCACACAGGGCAGCCTGTGTGGAAAGCAGCTGGTAATAGCTTTTAAATTTCAAGAAGTCTTGGTCTGACAGCTCCATCCATCTTTGGTATGACTCTGTTGACAGGGAATGCCCAAAGAGCAGTTAGTCACCATTAAAGATAGCATATATATCTGTGTATTTTAATATATATATTAAAAATACACAGGTCTATCTTGTGTTAAAAATATATGAATAAATGTATAGAAAATCTGTGGGAATTGGAGCTTATGTCTGGGAAATGAGGTGGTAATGTCTGTTCCTTACGTTTTCTTCCACTGAGAGCATGCGTTTCTTTTATGCACGGAAGCATGGTAGATGCCCCATCAAGTCTCAGAGCAGGGCAGCTGGGCCAGGAGGAGAGCTTAGGCCCTCACACCAGCGACTCAGTTTCTCCATTGGCAGATCTCCTATAGCTTCCTTTAAGTTCATTTGACAGCTGTCGGGAGCAAGAAGCAGACTGCCCCATGTCGTGGGCAGTGTCACTGCATCAACCCAGAACGTGGGTCACCGTCTTGTCAGTGTGATTGCTGTGGCTGGCAGATGTCCTGTGCAGAGTATGACCCCACTGTATATCCTGCCCTCTTCTAGTTCCAGTGCGACAACCTCTCAGCCGCCGGAGTCGCAGCCGCAGCCGGGTTTGCAGAAATCTGTCTCCAATTTACAGAAACCGACACAGTCAATCAGTCAGGAGGTAGGTATTGAGGAGCCTGCCCTGTCTTGCTGGGGCCGGGTGGGTGTTGCCTGGAAATGATGGTGACACAGGAGCACAGGCTTTTGCCTGCTTGGGTACAGATTGATTTGTCTTGAGCAGGTCACTGACTCCAGGCTGGGTCAGTGCTTCCTGTTGTGTTCTGTGGACACTAGTGTCAGGAGAGTACAGGAACTGCCAGGCTGCAGATGCCCTGTGCTCTGCTGAGTTTGAAAACACAACAGCTGGCAGTAGAGCCTCATGCTTTGTTTTGGTTTGGTTTTTTGTTGTTTCTTGTTTTGGTTTTTTGTTTCTTGTTTTGTTTTTTGGCTGGCCTGGAACTGGCTGTGAAGACCAGGCTGGTCCCAGGCTCACAGAGATCTACCTGCCTCTGCCTCCCCAAGTGTTGGGATTAAAGGCGTGCGCCACCACCACCCGGCTTACAGCTTCTTACTTTTAAAAGGTTCACTGCTTTTGAAATAGAAATCACCAGCATTATTGGCATCCTTCCATTAATGTTCTTGGTAAGGGCTGTAGACATGGGTCAGTTGTGTGGTTCCCGTTGGAGGAGGAGAATGACACTGACCTTGATGTCCCTCTGCTTACGGGAGGGCTTTGAAGCCCTGCTGCATGCCTGCTGCCCTTTGGGCATGTCCTGTGTGGTCAGGAGTCCTCTGCAGACTTGGCACAGTACCCAGTGAAGCCCTTGTCTGTGCTCAGGGCTAGCAGACAGGCAGGACATTTTCTGCATGGGTGCAGAGGGTAGGACTGGGGGCTGTCACTGCGGCCATGTCTGTGTCACCCATTCCTGAATCTCAGCTGAGATCTGGCCAGACCCTTCCAGAGGTGTGCTGGGATTTCACCTGATGCCCAGGTTGCTAGCCTCGCGAACTTTCAGGGCTGAGGCTCAGGCAGGCAAGTGTGGATGAGTAGAAGAGAATGGCCTCTAGGTGTCAGGCTGTGAAGACCAGCGTCATTTCATGGTTGGGCGTGTGAGGTTTCTTGTGTGTGTTCCTCAGGTGTCCCTGGCACAGATTAAGACACGTGCTGAAATTGTGTCTGGAGCAAGCCAACACGGCTCTGTGTGGGCATGGGACAGCCTGGCAGTGTCTGCAGAGTTGGGCACGAGGGTGGGTGTGGGTTGAGTCTTCTGTATTTGCTCGTCAGCCGTGCTGCTCTGAGAGCCACAAAAGCGGCCATGTGTCCTCTGCATGAGGTTCGAGTCTAAAGTGCAATTCTCACCCCACCCTCTCTTTGCTTTGTTGCTGGGGGGAGAACCCGGGACCCGTAAATGCCAGGCCAGTGCTCTGCCCACGAGCCCTGCCACAGCTCTGAGTGACACCTTACAAGGTGCTCAATTGCACAGCAGGTTAGCTGAGCTGACTCTCCTTGTTTCCTTTCTCACAGAACACAAATTCAGTGCCAGGTGGACCAAAGTCATGGGCACAGCTGAGTGGAAAGCCAGTCGGACACGAAGGTGGTAAGTGGGTGTGGGCGTCTTGGGTGGGCTGAGTTTAATACTGGCTCTTGGGACATGTTCCTTTTGAGTTGGGCAGAAGAACCTCAGCTCTGGCCAATGGTCCTTCAGGTAGCTGCACTGCTGGGGGGTAATTACTGCCAGTGTCATGTTGTCACCCAGCTGCTTCCTCCTCATTAGCCCCAACTCCAGGAAGCCAGTATAGGGAGGGAGCAGCTACTTGTAGACGTTCACCCAAAGCCTGTGTAGGAGTGGGTGGGATTGACTGGTCATCAGCCCACCGCGTGGAGCTGCTCATGGAAACAGAGACGAAAGGGTGATGCACTGTGGGGGGAAATGTTCTGAGTCCAGGAGCTTCCAAGGCAAACTCTGACTAGGTGAAGTGGTTTGGGGGAGCCCTGTGCAGGTGGACACAGTCCCTGCAGCTCTGGAGGAGGTGAGCCCCGAGTCAACAGGCAGTTTTTTTCTTTGTTCATTTTTTAAGATTTATTTATTTTTATGTGTATGGATGTTTTGTCTGTACACCAGAAGAGTTCATTTGATCCCCTGAGACTACAGTTATAGATGTTTGTGAGCTACCATGTGGGTGCTGGGAATTGAACCCAGGACCTCTAAAAGTCAGTGTTCTTACGCTCTGAGCCATCTCTCCAGCCACCAGCAGGCGGTTTTAAGAACAACAGGAATCCAGATTTTCTAGATGAAGTCTTGTAGTTTTTCCACATTAGCTGGTGTATTTCTGCACAGTGCTGACCCATCAGCTAGTTCCAGGTCAACCTCCAAAGCCACAGAGAAACCCTGCCTCGAAAAACAAAAACAAAAAACAAAACAACAACAACAAAAAAAAAGTGACTTGGATGAAAGGGTTTATTTTAGCTTATAGCCCATCGTGAATGGAAGACTATATGGGGGCTCCTGGCAGGAATCCAGGAATCTGGAGACAGGAACTGAAGCAGAAGTCTTAAAGGATGCTGCTCCCCTGGCTTGTTCAGTTTGCTTTTTTATATATAATTTGCTCAGAGGTGGCATTGTCCCCAGTTGGCTAGGTTCCCTACATCACTCAGTAATCAAGAAAATGCCCCACAGATTTGCCAACTGACCAATCTTACAGAGGCATTTTCTGGAGGCTGGAGAGATGGCTGATCTTCTAGAGGGCCCAGGTTTGATTCCCAGAACCCACGTGGCAGTTCACAACTGTCTGCAATTCCAGTTCCAAGGGATTTGGTAGCTTCACATACATGCAAGCAAAATACCAAATGCACATAAAAATACATGAATCATTAAAAAAAAGACTCCTTCTGGTTATAAGTGCACACAATTATGCCTGGATCGTGCGCGCGTGTGTGCGCGCGCGTGTGTGTGTATGTGTGTGTGTGTGCGTGTGTGCGTGCACGTGCCCACGTAAGTGCAAATGTTCTTGTGCCACAGTGTATACATGTGGAGGTCAGAGGACAGCTTCCTGAACTCCATTTTCATCTTCCACCTTGTAGAAATGGGATCTCATTTCTTGTCATTACACTGTATATACGAAGCCCACTGGCCCAGGAGCTTCTAGACAATTCTGTCTGCCTCTTAGGGAGTACTAGAATTACACATCCCTGCCATTATGCCCAGATTTTCACATAGATGCCAGAGATCTAAACTTGGTTGATCAGGGCAGAGGTTAACGATGTGTGGCCTGGCCTGACCACCTTGGTAGAGAAAGTGCTGAAATCTTAGGAGTGCTAGTGTGCTGGTGTGAGGTTGTCTTACCCTGTCTTAGTTTTGTTTCATGTTGTGACAAAATAATCTCAACAAAAGTGGCTTAAGAAGAAATAGTTCGTTTAACTTAGATTCTGGTTAAGATGGCAGGCACTTGAGGTAACATGTCACACCACAGTCAAGAGCAGAGAACAATGAATGAACGAACGAATGAATGAATGAGTGAATGCTAGTGCTCAGCTTGCTTTTCTACTCTTCGATTTTCAAGACAGGGTTTGTCTGTGTAACAGCCCAGGCTGTGCCGGGACTCTCCTTAGACTGGGCTGGGTTTGAACTCAGAAAGGTCCGCCTGCCTCTGGTCCTGAGTGTTGGGATTAAAGGTGTGCACCACCCCTGCCTGGCTGCTTTTCCACTCTTAAACAATCCACAATCCCATGTCCAGGGAATACGCTACCAAAATGGTTGGGGCTTCGTGCTCAATTAACATAATCAAAATCATCTCCCACAGATATGCTTAGATGCCACCCTGATCTAAACAGTCCTTCGTTGAGACTCCTTTTACCAGGTGATTCTAGACTGACATTTAAAATCAGTCACCCACCTGTGCCATTTCTGTCTATGGTTGATGCCATCACTTGCCAGGCTGCCCTGACCCAGCCTCTTCACTGAGCATAGTGGTAAACAGACCTCAGTCTGACATGGCTGCAGTGACCCCATCCATTTCCCTGGGTGAGTCTGTTTCAGTCAGCAGGTGCCTGTGTATTGCACTGGAAACCTAGGGGTGTGGCTTGTCCGTCCAGGGAATAATAGATTGAGTACAGCGGGACAGTGGGAGGGTGTTTCAGTTCAGTTGTGTGGCACTCAACATGGGCTGTGTAGGTGAGAGGGGACCATTTCCCACCCTCGGCCTTCAGAGGGCCACTCTCTTCCGCTCCTCCAGGAAGTCACAGGAGCTGTGTCAGGGTGAAGCTAATACAGGGCTGCTCCTTCCAAAGGGCTTGTAGTTGAGCAGTGAATGACAGTTGAAGAAAGAAATGGTCAGCCGGCCAGTGGTGGTGCATGCTTTTAGTCCCAGCACTGGGGAGGCAGAGGCAGGCAGATCTCTTGAGTTCAAGACCAGCCTGGTCTACAAAGTGAGTTCCAGAGTCACAGAGAAACCCTGTCTTGAAAAACCAAAAAAAAAAAAAAAAAAAGAAGAAGAAGAAAAAGAAACGGTCTTGTGCGTACATCAGGACCACATTTGGCTTTGCAGGCCTGGAAAAGGTTGGTAAGTCTGTGACTCAGAAACTCTAGGTGGGGGCATCTATTGGTGTGGCCCCACCTGAGTGGATCTCGCTTATGGACTGTGCTTGCCCACCTCCTGGGCAGGCACATGTACTAGGTGACTCCTATGGGGTGGAAAGGAACATGTGCTGGAGCAGAGGTGACATCCTGCCCCATTATCCTGTGTGACCACCTGCCAGCCTCTGGGGACAGCTGAGGGAGTCATTGTTACTGCCTGCTAGGTGCAGATACCCCAAACACGGCTCACCTGCAGCCACTCCAGGCCATTGGAGCTAGGAAAGCTGCCAAGGGATTTGGGCTGGCTGTCTCACTCACTCTTTGTGTCTTCTCTGCCTCTCTTGACAGGTTTAAGGGGCTCAAGCCGACTATTATCCTTCTCTCCCGAGGAATTTCCGACGCTGAAAGCAGCTGGCGGGCAGGACAAGGCTGGCAAAGAAAAGGGCGTCTTAGATCTGTCGTATGGGCCAGGACCAAGCCTCCGCCCTCAGAGTGAGTGAATGGCAGCTGTTTCCTCAGGCCCTCTGGGCACCAGACCCCTGTCTTCTTTTTGCCTTTCCAGGTGGGCCCCAACTGCTGGGCCTAGGTGTGGCAGCAAGGAAGCAGGTTGCTGCCTTGGCATGTGCATGTCCTGACTCTGCCTCTCTGGCCTGTCCCTCACCTCTGTCTCTCATCCCTCTGGCTGAACCAGATCTTTTCACTTTCCATTTGCCATCTGTTACTACTACCTCCACTAAGCTGGATGGTGCCTCATGGATACATAGAGGGTGCCACTAGCTAATCCAGTCCTTGCTTCCAGACCCTGTTCCCAGGCCTGTCTGCTTGTCAATAGAGCCTGACTTCCACCCTTCCCCAACCACAGCAGAACCGGCCAGTGTATCTGCAGCAGCCAGTGTTGTCCCTTCTGGTGCCGGGGTTAGGGCAGGCCTATGTGCGGTGGGTGTTGTGGTGCTCTGCAGGCAGGGCCTTCTCTGTGATGTCCTGTGTTTGAGATCTGGGTTTGCTGTCTGTCCTGACCAAGGAAGCTGCACTACATCCTTGGCTCAGGTCTTGAAATTCAAGGGCTTTTGTCTGCCTGCCTTGTACAGCCCCACGTCCTTTCCCGTTGATGCACCACTGATGACAGTCAGAGGCACTGTCCTGAAAGCTGAGCAACCACTCTGCCAAAACACGGGCTTTGCTGAGCGTACACAGTGCTCAGAGTGGGTAGTTAAGTGTTCAGATTAGCCTAACCCTAACTAAAGATGGGTTACCCCAGGCTAAAGCGTGAGTGGAAGCAGCTTCTAGAGCAGTCCCTTCTCTTGAAGGTGAGAAGCGGATGGCCTACGGGTGATCTTGGCTTCCCAGAATGGCTGATGGCAGCAAAACGGCCTGGCCTATCTTGGCTGGCTTTCTCTTTTGGGTGGCAAGTGCAGACGAGAACAGAGAGGAGTCTGGAGTTGTTCCTATGCGGCCCCCACACTAGTACTACTGTATGCAGTTTCTCTTTGTACGCTTTGAATTACCCGTGGCCAGCCACATCTGCAAACTGTTGTGCACTATTGTGGAAGTGGAACGTGTTGGGTTTGGTTTTTTTGTTTTTTGTTTTTTGTTTTTTTTTGGGGGTAGATTTATAAATTAATCTTAAGTGGTATATAAGGAAAACCAGTCTGGCCAGGTGTGGTGGCGCACATCTTTAATCCCAGCACTTGGGAGATGGGGGCAGGTGGATCTCTGTGAGTTTGAGGTTAGCTTGGTCTACACGGTGAGCTCTAAGCCAGCCAGAGTGAGACCCTGATTCTGAGAAGAAAAGCCGGTCTGTGTTGGGTCTGGGAGTGCCCTGTCCCTCTTGGTTAGTGGGCTTCTGTAGGCATTGTTGTCATGTCTGGATTTTAAGTTTTTAAAAATTTGATTTTGTGTGTGTTCATGGGGTGGGGCACACATACCTCAGCGTACGTGTGGGGTCAGGGGACAGCTTGTGGGAGTTGATTCTCCCCTTCTACCACTGGGGTCCTGGGGTGGAGCTAAGGTCATTGGCTTGGCAGCAAGCGCTTTTACCTCCTCAAGGCTCCACACCAGCTCCGTCCTCAAGTTTTTTTTCCCCTGTGAACTGAGTGTGTGCTGCACGTGATCACATGACACCAACATGTGAAGCTGAGGCTCATTGGGAGTGCTGCAGCTCAGCCCAGAACAAAAGCTTCATGTCACACTGGCTATGGTAAAAGTGAGCCCGTGTCAGGAGTCACACAGGCCTTGGTGGGTGGGGCAGCATTGTCTCCGAGTTCTGCCCTCGGGGTGAGTCAGCCATAGGGGCCAGTTGACACCTGTGTTTCTCTGGAGTGGACCTCTATGTATTCCTCAGGTATATATCTGATGCCCTCAAGAAATTCTAGCTCTCTGCTCCCCACGTTCCCTCAGAGCACGTGGATATTTTTCCGTTTTCACTGTGATTTTTTTTAAGCCAGGGGTGGTGTCCCTTGACCTTCAGAACTTCACAAATCTCCCTGCCCTGTCTTCTCTTTTGTCCCTTTCCAATTTACAGATGTGACAAGCTGGCGGGAGGGCGGTGGGCGAAACATCATTTCTACCACGTCTCTGAACGCCTCCCCTACAGAGCTGAGCAGCAGGAACTCCAGTTCGGGCGATGGAGCCCCCTCCTCGGCATGCACCAGTGAATCTAAGGACCCCTCTCTCCGCCCAGCCCAGCCCATCCGCAAAGGGGCCTCACAGTTCATGGGGCACACTTACCAGCCTCCCACATACCATGACATGCTCCCTGCTTTTGTAAGTCTTCAGAGCCTTTGTCCCAAAGTGGAAATTTCTTTCTGCCCATCAGAACTGGCTCAGGGGTCACTCAGCCTGAGCTCTCTCAGGACAGCCAGAACGACCACAGTGGCCCACAGCAGATTCTCACTGCCTTTTCAAACTGCTTCTGGCTTCTGCCCCTGGGGCTTGGATGCCATTGCAGCTTTGGTTCTTCAGAAAAAAGAAGAGATAGGTGTTCGCAGCTTTATTGAGCCCAAGGGAAACGGAATGTAATGCTGTGATGTATGAGAAACATTCTCCAGCCTTTTCTGAGGGGGTCTCCCCATTTCCCACTTTCCAGATGAATTCTTATTTAACATGTAATTGGGGCCATTTCCAGAAAGTCAGACTCACTGGCAAATGTATTTCAGATGTGTTCACCACAGTCATCAGAGAACCAGGGTACGGTAGAACGAAGCTCCTTCCCCCTTCCTCAGCTCCGCCTAGAACCTCGGGTCCCTTTTAGGCAGTTCCAGATGAATGACCAAGAAGGGTAAGGCTGTGAGCTTGTGGTCACGTGTGTCATTTTATGACGGCTCAGGCATGAATGTGCTTTGTGTTCTGGAGAGAGAACATCCAGGTGTGGTGGGTGGGTGTCTACGGTGTCTTTAATTGTTCATTGCATTTTCTTTTCAAAGGAAGTAATATAGATACTCAAACACCACTCTGCAAGGTGGAACCTGCCTTTGGAAAGTGACGACTTCTGCCTATAAGTCATGTGAATCCATCTTTATTTTCTGTCTTTTCAGGAAAGAAAGGCCAGGCCTGGCACGCCCAGTGCGCCCACTGAGGCAGCTGGTGGAGCGGGCACCACGGCCCACCATCATCAATGCAGAAAACCTGAAGGGCCTAGATGATCTGGACACCGATGCAGACGATGGCTGGGCAGGTGAGTGGCACCAATGTGACCTTATGTGCAGCCAGACCAGAGGGCACTCCCTGGCCAAGTAGAATCTTCTTTTGATCTGTGCTCCTAATAGTAGAGCTGTCAGAAATTGTGCTGTTGAGCTTGTAAAAGATCTTTCTAGAACTATAGGTATGTACTACTGTGTCTGGCTGGAAATCCTCCATCCCACACTAAGGATCACACTCACATATGTTGGGCTGTGTGCTCACACAGCTCCTTGGAGCTCCCAGTCTCTTTAAGAAGAAAGAAGTTTTCCTAAGTTATATTTCTTTATTTGTGTGTGCGTTTGTGCTTGTATTCCTGGGTTGTGGCACACGTGTAGTCAGCTGGTGTCTCAGAAGTTGGTTTTCTTTCTGCCATGTGTGTCCTAGGGATCCATACTCAGGTCATCAGCCTTTGGGAACACTTTGACCGCCTGAAGCATCTTGCTGGACCAAGCCCTGCTTTTTGTGAGGCACAATCTTGTTATGTAGCCCCGAGTGACCCTGAACTCTGTGTTTTGCTTCAGTATTCTAAGTGCTAGGGTTACAGGTGAGGTATCCACCCACTTTAGTCCTAACCCTGAATTGTTGTTTTAGTCACTCCTTTGGGGGTTGTAGTGTTAGGAAAGTTGAGAACCACTGCTTTGTAGAGACAGGATTTTCTGTACCGAGACTGATCTCATACTTGGCACTGACTCCCCATTCTCTGCCACCTCCTCATGCTCTACTGACAGGGGTCGTACGTAAGTAAGACTCTTCGTGTCTTAACTTACACTCTGATATTTGTCAGCATTTTTATGTCCATCAGTAGTTTCTGTTGGCTCCTGTGAGGTATTGGCACACTGTGCTTTCTTTATCGCTTTAGAAGTCTCATCAAGAGCAGGTGTGGTGGCGCACGCCTTTAATCCCATCTGTGAGAGGTGGAGGCAGGCGGGTCTCTGTGAGTTTAAGGCCAGCCTGGCCTACAGAGCGAGTTCCAGGACAGCCAGGGCTGCACAGAGAGTATTGTCTTAGGGGCTCTAGCAAGGTGGCTCAGAGTTTAAGAGAGCACTGGCTGCTTTTATAGGGGACCTGGATTCCATTCCCAGAACCTACATGGCAGCTCTTAATTATCTGTAGTTTCAATTTCAGAGAATCGAACACCCTTTTTTGTTCTTTACAGACAGGCAAAACACACGTTAAAAAAAATTAGCCGTGTGGTTGTGGCATACACTTTTAATCCTAGCACTCAGGAGGCAGAGGCAGTGGCAGATGGGTCTCTATGAGTTTGAGGCCAGCCTGGGCTACAGACTGACTTCCAGGACAGCCAAGGCTACACAGAGACACTGCCTCAAAAAACAAAACTATCTATCCCAGTTTGGTGGCACAGGTCGTTAATCACTACACGCAGGCAGAGGTTGGCGGTTGTCTACATCTCTTTGAGTTGGAGACCATCCTGGTCTACAAAGCAAGTTCTGGTTCAGCCTGGACTCCAAAGAGAAACTGTGTCTCGGAAAACCAAGAATCAAACCAAAAACAAAACAAACAGAAACGGGTCAGGCATGGCTAGAGAGTTAATGTCGTGGTTAAAAGCACTTGTTGGTCTTGCAGAGGACCTGGGTTCAGTTGCCAGCACCCACATCAGGTGGCTCCCTACATCTTTGACTCTAGTTCCCAAGTGTCTGCAGCCCGTGGATCCCCTTGGACTTCTACATGCATGTGGTACACATCAACTCGTGTTGGTGTGCGTGCACACGCGCCCACACACATACCCATAATAAATAATTAAAAAGACAGATATGCGTATTAATAGGCTGGAGAAACGGCTCAGTGGTTAAGAGCGTCTCCTGTTGCAGACAGCCACCCCGCTCTAGGGGATCTGGTGCCTCCTCTGGCTTACATAAACACCTATCTATACACATGACATATCTATACACCTGACATTCATTCACAAAGATACACACATACACATGAGTAAAAATGAAATAAACCTTTCTAAATCACCATTTGCATCCAGGCTGAATATTTCTGCCTCCCTTGAGCATACTGATATGCCCTGGTGTCCAACAGCCCTGTTGCCTATGATACGGCCTACTGTCAACACTTGTTGAGACGTTGCCTTTGAATTGGTTTTGGCACTTTTGCCAAACGTCACCCATGTCAATTACAATAAATCTTAAATTCAGATAGTGTGAGCTTTCCACCTTGTTTCTTTGCGAGTTTGATTTCTCAAGTTGTCTGCTGGTCTCTGCAAATTTGGACTCCACCCTGGCGTATTTACAGAGAGCCTGCTTCTGTGTCAAGGTGAGCCATGCAGTCTTGACTCTGGAGTTCCAGGATCCCAGTGAGTCTCTGCTAGGTTTCTTCTTTCTCATTAGTGTTCTAGAGTTGTCAGAAGAATCTTTCTTTCTTTTAAAGATTTGTTTTATTTTTGATTATGTACCTGTGTTTTGCTGTGTGCACATGAGTGCAGCTGAGGGTGCCACATCCATTGCAGCTGTAGTTACAGACAGTTACGGACACCAAACTTGAGTTCTCTGCCGGTGCAGTCCATGCACTCTTAACTAACTGCTAGGCCATGTTGCAGCTCAGTAGAGAGGATCATGTTTTCTGGTAATTATATTCATGGATAGAGGGCCTACTTAGCATGTGCAAAGAAGTTGCTGAATTCACCAGTTACTATATATGCTCCTCCTACCCCACCCTAACACATACACAGGCGAGAGGTGTTGGTTCATCCTGTAGACTCAGCCTTCGCTACTTGGGCTGATAAGGCTAGAGGATCACTTGAGACCAGTCTGGGACTATAAGTAAAACCCTGTCTTTTTAACAGTGGTAGTTGTTAAATGGAGCTTGGGTGTGTGGCCCAGTTAGTAGAGTGTCCAACATGCAGAATGCACTGGATTCAGTCTCTGTCCACCGTGTAAATGGGCTGTGGTGGCAAAAGGATGAGACTTTGGCTGCATAGCAAATTCAAGGCCAGCTATGACACATGAAAATGTCTTCTAAGTAAGTAAAGATAATAGTTTACAGGTTCTTTATGTATTTTTGTTTTGTTTTCTCTACACAGGGTTTTTCTGTGTAGCTCTGGCTGTCCTGGAACTTGCTCTGTAGACCAGGCTGGCCTCAAACTCAGAGATCTGCCTGCCTCTGCCTCCCAAGTGCTGGGATTAAAGGTGTGCGCCGCCACTGCCAGGTGAGACATGTTTTGTGTCCAGGACCATCTGTCTTGGAGAGTATCCCAAGAGTCCTTGAGAAGCCTGTGTGTAATAGCCAGTGTAGTGAGGTGCTGTTTTGTTTGGGTGTATCTTGGACTGGACTGTGATATATTAAACTTCTGCTCTGATTGTGGATTTGCTTATGTCTTTAAATCTGTTGGTCTTCTGATGCATTTATTTTGAAATACATTGGTATTTAATCTCTTTGCTTTTCAAACCTCATGTTTTCTAGTTGTTTCTTTGCTTGAATTTCTTGTACTTCATTAGTGCGGTCATTCTTACTTTGTCTAATTAACTCATTTATTTGTGTATATATGGTGTGTGGTTTAGGGGGCTGGGTTGAGGCCACAGGTTGATGTAGGATTTCTTCTTTGCTTTCTTCTCTACCTCATAAAGTTTTATTTTAGATTTATTCATTTTATGTGCTGGCAGCATGTGTTTATTGGATTCCCCCTAGAACTGGGGTTACAGATGGTTTTAAGTCGCCATATGAGCACCAGGAACTGAATCCTAGTGTTCTGCAAGAGTCACAAGAGCTCCTAACCACTGAGCCATCACTCCAGCCCTCCACCTTACTTTTGAGACAGGGTCTTTCACTGACCCAGAGTTTACCATTTAACCTTGGCTTGCTGGGTTCCATCTGGGTCCACCCCGCAGTGTGGCGTTAACAGGCATGCACTGGTATGTCTGACTTTTCTGTGGATGGCACTCGGGTTCCTCATGTTTGTGCAACAAGCATGTACTGATCCATCTCTCTTGTCACCCACATTCCTTTTGATGGCCAAATCATATTCTACTGTGTGGACCTGCCACACTTTGTCCATCAGTTATGGACACGTTCCCTGCCTGTGCCAGTCAGTGTGGGGCATAGGACAATAGAAATGTCCCTGACAGAGCGTCTGTGATGCATAGGTGGAGTGCATCACAAAATTCCCCTTGAATTTTCCTTTCAGGCTGGTGTGATGGTGTATGCCTGCAATCCCAGCACTCTGAAGGCTGGCCAGGAGAGCTGAGTCTGGGTTACATAGGGAGAATTTCTGTTTGTTTTGATTTAAAACTTCTTTGTCAGAGGGTTAGTGTTACCTAGCCCATCCTTCTTACTGGAACTCAGGACTCTGCCTCCCTGGTATCTGCAGGGGTGGCAGCTGGGCAGGGTGAGCAGCCCATCACCTCAGTTGGGGACCACAGGCTCAACTTGTATAGACTTGTCTTGTACTCTGGGAGACACTGTCATCCTCTCGTTCTCTCATCTTCCTGGGCCCTCTTGGCTGTTGCAGGCCTCCATGAGGAAGTGGACTATTCTGAGAAACTGAAGTTCAGTGATGATGAAGATGAGGAGGAAGTTGTGAAGGATGGGCGGTCCAAGTGGTAAGTCCTCCAGGCCCGCTCCTAGCATGGTCCGTCAGAAACCTGCACGCCCTTGGTGTGCTGCTGCATGCTATTCACTCTGCTGGGACTAGTTCTTGGTTTCCATAGCAACCTGTAGTTTCAAGGATGAGGTAGGGTCTGCTGAAGACAGTGTGCAGGAACGGGTCCCGTCAGGTTTTGTATCCAGGTTTGACGATCTGGGTTCTGTGCCCTGGTCCTTGCAACTCTGCACCTGATGTCTCAGATTGTTGATGGGAAGCCACCCCAGGTTCATCTTTGATAATACAGGAACTCTTGGGGTCTGGGCTCTTCAACAGCACCCGGGGAGGTGTGGGAGCAGGCGTGTGCAGATTGCCTGCATCCGTTCTGCCTCTACTCTCCTTCCTTGGATCATTCCCACCGGCATAGTTTACTTAATGTTCTTTGGAAAATACGACATCGTTCTCCAGTTCCTTAGAGGGTTGGTTTGTTTGTTTTGTTTTCTGAATGTTTATTTTTATTGTTTCGAGGTTTTGTGTGTGTGATGTATGTGTATACATGTAGGCATGTGGTGACGGCCACATATATGGCCGTGGTTGTGTTTGGCCCCAGCTTGCTCTGTTCATCACACCCTCTTCCTCTACAGAGCCCTCAGTGCAGCCTTTCTGGGGACTGTCTGCTTTTCTACACTGGTGCACTTTCTGTATCCGTGCTGCTCACTGGGACGGCCTTTTAGCTCCTGCCTTTTGCTGCTTTGCAGAGCTCTGGGTGGGCGCTTGCTTTAGACCACTCCAGGGAGCAGGAGACTGAGGCAGAGCCCCAGCTCTGCTCTTTTCTCTCTGCTGTGGCAGCTCCTTTCACCTTAAGATTTTCATTAGTTTTATTTTATGTGTATGGGTATTTTGCCTGTACATATTTCTGTTCACCACATGCTTGCAGTGTCTGTGGAGGTCAGGGAGGACACTGGATCTCCTAGAACTGGAGTTACAGATGGCTCTGAGCCACCACGTGGACCCTGGACACTGACCGTGGGTCCTGAAAAGCAGCCGGTGCTCCAGCCCCCCTTCCCAGCTCTTTACATGTGAGCAAGCAGGCCTTGTCTTTGCTTGCCGTCAAGGATGGGTGATGAATTACATGCCTCCTGGGGGCTTGTGAGCTTGGTAAACGCTGGGCCTCAATTTTGCAGTTCACATGGAAAGGGCATGAATTGGGTGTTGAAGGATATTAGTTTATAAATTGGTGTATTAGCTGTCTTCAGGGTTCCCAGAGGCCCCTGACCAGTGAGGTCAGACAGACTTAGCTGTCTGAGGAAACTTACAGGTTGGTATTTGTCCTAGGAACAGCTGGGACCCAAGGCGGCAGCGGGAGTTGTCACTGAGCTCTGCAGACAGTGCTGATGCCAAGCGCACTCAGGAGGAAGGAAAGGAATGGGGAGAAGCAGCAAGTGTGACCCGCATCGTCCGAAAGGTGCCAGAGCCTCCGCCTCCTTCCCGGAAGCTGCAGAGCTGGCCATCTGGCTCTGACTACCAGGTACGGGGGCCCAGGTTCGGCTTGGCCAGAGCCCTGGCATGTGGACTTTATTGCATGGTGCTTTCTCTCCCTCCCTCCTTCCCTACACACACACACACACACACACACACACACACACACACACACACACACACACACACACACACACACACACAGAGAGAGAGAGAGAGAGAGAGAGAGAGAGAGAGAGAGAGAGAGAGAGAGAGAGAGAGAGAGAGATATCAAACTCACATTGTCAAACTTTAAGACAAACAAATGTCAAATGTTCTACCTGAGCTGTGTGGCTAGGACTAGCTGGGCATGGTAACACATGCCTTTAATCCCAGCACTCAGGATGCAGGTAGGTGCTTCAGGAGTTCAAGACCAGCCTGGATTATATAGTGAGGTCCAGGCCAGCCAATTGCTACATAGTGAGAAGCTGTTTTCCTGGCTGACTGAAGGCTGTGCCACCTCCCTGGATAGTAGCTTTCACTACCAGCTATGCCTAGAACCAGAATCCAACCAGAAAGTGTGTATTGCTACGCCACTGTGGCACACTCACAGGCAGTGAACCCGCTGAAGTCCTCTGTGCGTGAGCTCACCTGTGATCACTGCAACTCACTCGGCCTTTCACAAGTTCTCATGGCCTGGCTGCTTTGGAAGAGGGCAGGCTCCTCAGGTTGGCTTGAGCTGGTGCTTGCTCCTGGTCAGGTCCAAGGCTTGTGTCCTTGGCCCACTTCTCTGTTCTGGACCCCTCCTGGCTCTGGTGACTGGCACTTTGTTGTCCAGGCTTACGCTGGAACAATCCTTTTCTCTCCGCTGTGATTGATGAGAAATGTGGGGAGACGGGCTAGTCCATTATTCACCATATTCAACCTTGGTGCGTGTCTGTATGCATGATGTGTGCATGGGAGCTCGTGTGTGGAGGTCAGAGGACATCTCCATGGAGTCTTCTTCATTTCCACTGCATGCAAGTTCTGTGGATTGAGCTCAGATTGACAACAGGCTTGCACAGCAAGCACCTTTATCTCCTGAGCCATCTCATTGGCCCCCATTCATCATACTTCCAATGTATTCATTTATTTCAGCAGCTGAAAATCCCACCTGCCTGGTGCGGGTCCTTGTTTCTTGTCTTACTTTGAGACTCCTCACTTTCTGAGGTTAACTCCTTCCAAACTCACCCAGATCCAGGTCCTCTGCTCCTGGGTCAGTTCTCCTGGGGACTCTTGGTTCCTTGGAGTGGTAGGGAATGCTTAGACCCTGTGCCTGAATGTATGAGTGCGTGTGTGCGTGCGTACATGCGTGTGTGCATGTGTCTGTGCAGGAGCTCACATTCCACCGGTGCCTGTGGAAGTCAGGAGACAGCTTTAGTGTGTGCCTTTGCTTTCTCTCCACACTGTTTAAGATAGGGTCTTTGTTAATTTTCGGCTGAGCTGGCCCAAGAGCTTCTGGGAATTCTCCTGTCTCTGGTTCCCTGTGATCACTGTGGGAGCATTGGGGTACATCTGGCTTTTACGGGGATTCTGGATTTTGAATTTGGCTCCCCACAGTTGCACAGTAAGCACTTTAACCCCCTGAGCTGTATCCTCGGTCCCTCTTTCTATATCTGTAACTCCTTCCTCCCACAGAAGTCACGCTGTCCCTAGCACTAATGTGTACTGGTTGGCTCCTGTGTGTGAACAGTGTCCCTTGCACAGATGCCCTCCCCAGCCCTCAGAGGTCACCTTTGCTCTACAACGCCCTGAATTCCATGCCACGCCCTATTCTATGATTGTCCCAAACCAGGCCGCCACTTGCAATGCATGCCTTGCATCGTACTGGGATATGGCCACCTACACAGACTCTGTCTCCCTGACAGCTGACACACCCGTCTTGCCACACCCCGTGATTTGTGGGTGAGCAAATGGTGGGAAAGAGACAGGCACCGTTTGGAATTCTCTTGGAAAACATGTTTTTGGCTCCTGTGCTCTTCGTGTGTACTGTACAGCCTGGGTACTGTGCTGGCTACAGAGTGCACACGTGTACAGTGAGGAGTGCACACGTGTACAGTGAGGAGTGCACACGTGTACAGTGAGGAGTGCACACGTGTACAGTGAGGAGTGCACACGTGTACAGTGAGGAGTGCACACGTGTACAGTGAGGAGTGCACACGTGTACAGTGAGGAGTGCACACGTGTACAGTGAGGAGTGCACACGTGTACAGTGAGGAGTGCACCGCATGATGCCTCCCCTCCTGAGATACCCTGGACCTGAAGGCTTTGCAGTGAACGTGGCCCTTTGAGTCTGTTTAGCTCTATGTGCAGGGGATAATCAGGTTTAAGAATTCATAAAACGGGATTGAAGAACTAGCTCAGTGGGTAAGAGCAATTCCTAGAATTCACATCAGGTGACTTGTTGTGGATGGTTCTTCCCGCCAGCCTGGCCACACATCTGTGTCAACCCCAAATAAACACACGGATGCTGTATTAGTTATGAAACTGTTGGCCAGTATCTTGGGATTCTTATTGGCTAGCTCCATCTTAATTATTAACCCATTTCGATCAGTCTCGGTATTGCCATGATGCTGTGGCTTACCCAGTAATGCCCGGCATGGTGTTATTCCTCAGGCAGCATGGCGACTGTGGCAGGTTCCTCCCTACCTCTGCCTTTCCCAGAATTCTTCTCATCTCCTTGTCGCACCTGTCTTACTGCCTCCTTGGCCATTGACCCAACAGCGTTTTATTCATCAGCCAATAAGAGAAACATATACAAAAGGACGCCCCCATTAGTGGCTCCCAACTACCTATAAGTCCAATTCCAGGAGACATGGACACCTCTGGCCTTTGTTGGCACATGCACTCATGTGCACATACCTCACGGACATAAACGCATAACTTAATAAAAATAAATCTTAAAAACCCTGCTGTGCTTTGGTGGCGCACGCCTTTAATCCCAGCACTCGGGAGGCAGAGGCGGGTGGATCTCTGTGAGTTCCAGACCAGCCTCACCTACAAGAGCTAGTTCCAGGACAGCCTCCAAAGCCACAAAGAAACCCTGTCTCAAAAAACAAACAAACAAACAAACAAACAAAAACAAAGCCAGAATGCACCCAGGTAGGTTCTCAGGATCTCGGTGGATAAAGGAGACTGCTGCGGAGCATGAAGACCTGAGTTCAGTCAGTCCCCAGCACCCAGATTGTTAAAGGAGAAAACTGACTCCCAAGAGTTACCGCATCACTCACACACACACACACACACACACACACACACACACACACACACACACACACACACACACACACACAAAATCAGTTCTCAGCACCCATGTCCAACAGCTCACAGCTGTCCGTGGCTCTGCCGCTACCTCTTGTCCTGTAAGGCATCTATACTCACATGCAGATACACGCATAAAAACATTTTCTTTGAATTGTAAGGATCAGGCAGCTTATCAGGGAAGTCGTGAAATGGTCAGTGGATAGCTATTTCCAAAGCATGGGCAGATGGTGTATTTACTGGAAAGTGAAAGTGTCCAGTGAGTGTTATGTGGTATGCGAGGGTGTGTCTGAACTTACCTTGGAGTTTATAACCTCAACTCATTGGAGTTGTTTCTGGATCATGAGAAATAAGCTTTTAGGAGGAAATTCTTTTTTTTTCCATATATTTTTTATTTAACTTTTCACGCATGTCACTCTCAGTTCCCTCTCCCTCCCCCCTCCCCCACCTTCCAATCCTCCCAACCCCTCGCCCCCACTGCTTCCCAGGGAGGGCAAGGGCCTCCATGAGGGATTTTCAGGGTCTGTCACATCATTCCGGGAAGGGCCCAGGTTCTTCCTCTTGTGTCCAGGCTGAGAGAGCATCCCTCACGTAGCATGGGTTCCCAGAGTCCTACTGTATGCCAGGAATAAATACTGCTCCACTCTTAAGAGGAAATTCTGAACTATTACCAATGTGTATTTCTTATATAGAGGCGTGATTAGACTACAAGAGGAGGCAGACCCTTGCCCCCCCCCACCTCCCCACCCCCGTTTTGTTTTTCCAGACAGAGTTTTTCTGTGTAACCATCGCTGCCTCTGTCTCCTAAGAAGTGCTGGGATTAAAGGCGTGGACTATCGCCACCCAGCCCTGTTCGACCGCCTTTGACCTTGGCACACACCTGTCTGGCCACCATTCCAAACAGGAACTCATTTAGTGTGACTGAGAATCAGCTCCCGTCCAGTGGTCTCTGCTACTCTGTGCCTGCAGACTAGTGGGGTATCTATCTCTCTGAGCGTTTTTCCCAGGGCACCCTCAACATCCTACTTCCATTGTGACTGACAATCAGCAGGAGACTCAGGGATGGAGAAAGCATCCAAAGAGGTGTTTGTTGTCGTGCCTTTGCATTAATGTGGAAGCATCAGTTTGACGTTACAATGTAGGGGTCTCATATTCTCATGGTGGGGGCCCCTGTGAGAGTCAGTCTCAGTGAGAGAAGCAGCCATTGTCTCTGGTTTCTGACCCAAACCTCATTCCTCCTTCTTTTGGCAGAAGCCCACAATGGGCAGTGTATTCCGACAACACTCTGCTGAAGACAAGGAGGACAAGCCGCCCCCACGGCAGAAGTTCATCCAGTCAGAGATGTCAGAGGCCGTGGAGCGAGCCCGAAAGCGCAGAGAAGAAGAAGAGCGCCGGGCCCGGGAGGAGAGGCTGGCAGCTTGTGCGGCCAAACTCAAGCAGCTGGACCAGAAGTGCAAGCAGGCCCAGAAGGCCAGTGAGGCCCCAAAGCCAGTGGAGAAGGAGGTCCCCCGATCCCCTGGCACTGAGAAGGTCTCCCCACAGGAGAACGGCCCTGTTGTCTGCAAAGGTGAGAGACTTCCCTGTCCCACAGTGGGGAGCTTGAACTTTCTGTGTCCCCTCACTGCCTGAAGTAGAACACCTGTGGATAAAAGCGTACTCTACTGGAAAGCATCAGTCTTTAGAAGTGTTGGTGTGGCTGGCCATGGTGGCACACACTCAGTCCCAGCCCTCGGGAGGCAGAGATAGGATCAGTTGCTCTACATAGAGTTCCCGGACATTTGGATACACTCAGAGACCCTGCGCACACACATGTAGGCCTGGGTTCTGTCTGGTCCCAGGTCGACTTTCTTTTTCCACTCGTGTGTGTGTGTGTGTGTGTGTGTGTGTGTGTGTGTGTGTGTGTGTGTGTGTGTGTGTGAGACAAAGTATTTATATGAAGGTCAGAGAGTTGAACTCAGGTCTCTAGGATTATGCACTAAGTGCCTTTACCTGCTCAGCCATCTTCCCAGCCCCATCTCAATTTTTTAAACTAGTTGGGTAAATATCTTGGCACGGTGGCTCAGGATTGCCCTTAAGCCTGACAGAGCCGTGGCGGAAGGAGACTAGAAAGCTATGAGTTGTTCTCTGGCCGCTGTTACACATGCTATGGCATATGTGTGCATGCACGAATACACAGACACATCCATAAGTTTATTTCAAAATGTGGAACTGAAGACCTAGCTCACACAGAGCATGCCGGTTAATTCCCAACACTCACGTGGTGGTTCACAACTACCTCTAACTCCACATCTAAGTGATCTAATGCTCTCTTCTCACTCCCTGTGTGCCAGACACACACATAATGCATGCAGGCAAAACACTCATACACACGTAAATTAGAATCCCAAAAAGCTGTTTGTATACCTGCCTGCCAGTATGAGGAGGGCCTAAGCCAGGTGCCTTTCTTGAAACTTGTGCATTCCAAGAAGTGATGTTGTCATTAAAGCTGCTATCGCTTCATGTGCTGCTCAGTCAAACATATGATTGAGAACCTGTGACAAAGGAGTGCATTATTTTACAGGAAGTGAAAGGGGGTCTGTCTAAATGTTGGAATACACTTATCTTGCCTGGCAAAAGAAGTGGCTGGTGGGGCTGTGAACAGTGTATGTGATGAACAGCAGGGCTGACATCTTCTCTAGGAAACGCCCTCTGTCAGCTTCCAGGGACTCTTGTGAGGAGATGTGTTCTGGTAGTTTCAGCCCCTGTGGGGTGCTTGGCAGTCTGCAGCACCAGCGCCCTCTGGTGTCAGGGAGGTGCAGTTGTGCTTGTGATGTCAGTGTTTACAGCGTGCGTGGAGACTGTGAACCTAGGGGCAGCAGTACAGGCACACTGCTTGACATGCTGTTCATCAGCCCCTGTTGGCGGGACAAGCTCCTATGAGCTCACTGTGACCTTTCTTTGCCTGACTGTTCTGTAGGCTCCCCAGAATTCCCTGTCCAAGAAGCACCCACCATGTTCTTAGAAGAGACACCTGCAACGTCCCCTGCAGTGGCGCAGAGCAGCAGCAGCAGCAGCAGTAGCAGCAGCGAGGAAGAAGTCAGGGAGACTGGGTCCCCTGCACAGGAGTTCAGCAAGTATCAGAAGTCCCTTCCTCCTCGTTTCCAGCGGCAGCAGCAGCAGCAGCAGCAACAGCAACAGCAGCAGCAGCAGCAGCAGCAGCAGGTAAACGGATGGACATGACCATGGAGCAGGTGCTCTCCCCACTCGCCTCCAGCTTAGAGAGACAGCAGTACTCTTACATGTCATAGCCACCATCACAGATGGCAGAGGTGACACCTAAAGCTTGGAAGATCTGCATTGATAGAGGCTCTGTGCATGCACACTGAGTGACGTGCTCTGGGCTGCATTTGGTGTCATGGGGGGCAGTCTCCACTCAGAGCACTCCTCTGACCCTGTTCAATTATACTGGGGCTTCTGAAGTCTTAGAGTTGCTGGAGAGGAACACCAGCTTTGGATCAAGGATGCCCACCCTCAGGTTAATGCTCTTTGTAAACTAAAAAGAGTGCTGCCTCAGCAGAGCAGAGGGCTTTGGAAGTGATGCCTGTGAGCAGCTCAGCAGTGTTGCCATGCTGGTCTTCTGAGACCTTCAAGATGACTTGCGTTTTTTCTCTGGGATGGTGTGGCTGGAATGGCAGCAGTCCCTATGTCCTGCTGGTCTTCTCTGCCAGAGGTGTCCGTGGTAGTTGTGCTCCATGGAGAGTCATAATTACTGAGATGGGCTGTGGTTCATTGGTAGAGCTTGCCTGGCATGAATGAGATCTCAGGGCAATTTCTATACCCAGCATACAAAAGAAAATATCAGTTGTTCCTAGGAACTGCATTTGATGGCAGCTATGATGATGGGGGGGGTATTTGGAAGTCCAGCAGTTGGGTGTATAATATGTTTATTTGAAACTGTTTTAGAATAGGTGTGCCTTGGAGAAATAAACTTTTCTTTAAGGCTTTTTCAGGTCTTATGAGGATGTACGTGGACAGATGTTGGGCACCATATGTAGGTAGACTTTTCTGTCTTGCCTGCCAGCTTCCAAATAAGCACATGAAGACTTTATTAATTAAAAAAGCTTGACCGATAGCTTAGGCTTGTTCTTAGCTCTTACAACTTAAATCAACTCATTTTTATTAATCCATGTGCTGCCCTGAGGTTTGTTTAGCTCATCTATGAACTTCTCCATGCTGCTCCTCAGACTGCCCGTCTTCTTCCCAGCGATCTCTGTACCCCGGAAACCCTGCCTAGCTATTGGCCAGTCAGCATTTTATTAACAATGAGAGCAACTCATTTTCACTGTGGACAGGATTATTCAAGGACTCGGGAGATGGCTCAGGTTGAGAGCACTGACTGTGTTCTTTCAGAGGCCCTGGGTTCAGTTCCCAGCACCCACATTGCAGCTCACAGCTGTCTGTAACTCCAGTTCCAGGAGACCTGACACCCATAGCAAAACAGCAATCCATGTTAAAGAAAAAGATATAGAGGGATTATTTCACAGCACAGAGCTCATGGAGCAGGAACGTGGCTGAGGGGAACTACCATGAGAGCAGCAAAAGGAGCAGGAAGGGGTGTGGTGGGAGCGCAGAATGGTGCCTGGTCGGGTGTGGTGCTACTTTCCCGAGAGTCTGTGCTATGCTGGGAACTCAGTGAAGAGCATCCTAGTCCAAGGCCCTAGCTTTTCCATGCTCTAGCAAGGGCCCACATAGCCGTGAAGCAGAGTTGGGAGCGTTGTGGAGGAATAGCCAAGAAGGTGAGCTCCAACAGGACCCCATAGGCTGCTGGAAGCCATGTGGGGTCAGATGTCAGGAAGAAAGCAGGGGAACTTGGAGCCACAAATGTGGGATGTATAGTGGTGGCTGTAGACTAGAGAAATGGCCGTGTCTGGTAGGTGAGCAGATCTGATTCTATGACGTGTTCAGTCAAACTGTAACCCTAGTCTGGTGGGGGAGGGGTAACACATGTGCACACACTTCTTGTAGTGACACCAAGATGGCTGTCCGTTCAGCCTGGGGGACCTCAGTTTGGGACATTCTTCATTTTGGCCTTCTGTTAGCCTCCCCCACCATCCCCACATCCCCACTCCCTACCTCCTGCCAGGGCTTCTCTGACTCCCTCTGTAGACCAGGCTGGCATCAGCTCCAAACTCGGAGATCCGCCTGCCTCTGCCTCCTGAGTGCTGGGACTGAAGGCGTGCACCATTACTTCCTGGCGTGTTAGGAGCCTTTCTGTGCCCCTCCTGTGGGGTGGAGGACTGTCCCGTGAGCACTTGCGTGTGCGCCACCCCCATTCCCTACGTGTTTTCTTCCACCAGGAGCAGCTATACAAGATGCAGCACTGGCAGCCCGTGTACCCCCCGCCTTCGCACCCCCAGCGCACCTTTTACCCACACCACCCCCAGATGCTGGGCTTCGACCCACGCTGGATGATGATGCCCTCCTACATGGACCCACGCATCACACCCGCTCGGACACCTGTGGACTTCTACCCCTCGGCCCTGCATCCGTCAGGTGAGCACAGAGCCCAGGTGACTGTAAAATGAGGGCAAGTCACAAGGAGAGCCAGAACCACTGAGTCCAGTCTGGCCTGTGTCCGGTCATTTGGTTGCTCGGGAGTTTTACAAGTTAAAGACAGTTTTGCTCCTGTCAAAAAGTTACTGGGACCTGAGTGTGGGTGGGGACATGTCTGTAATTTCAGCACTTGAGAGGCTAAGACAGGAAGATACTGAGGTTGAGACCAGACTGGGCTATGTATTGAGGAGACTCTGTCTCTACACAATCGAAATTGTTGGCATGAATTATGAGCTTGTGTGTTGTAAGTTGCCTGAATTACACTCAAATCTTAGCCTAGTCATCAACCCTCTTTGCATCCTTGCTTTTGGGTTTTCTCTATTAAAACCAGATTTGGGGTTTCATCAACCCTTTATCTTACTGCTCCACTATTTTCATAATACTGTTGGGTGTCCATTTGTTCATTATTCCTCACTTACATGATCGTTATAGTGTTGTTTCCAGGGTTGCTTTGTTGGGGTCTGATGATGTGACTTCTCAGCAGGTACGTGGTACAGGCTAGACTTTTAGGTGGTCATACTGCAGGCTAGACCGGTCCTAATCCCTCTAGTCATATAGAAGTAGTCCATGAAATTGCACTTGCCAGTTGTGTTGTACAGATACCGGTATCATTGTTTTTTTTTTTTAATCCTCTTGGTAAGTTACTGATGGATATTAAAATAGGTTGCCACAAGGTTTGAAGTTTAACTTAGTGGTAGAACACATCATTCTTTTAGTATTCATAAGGACCTGCATTCAACTCTTAACTCCAAACATGTAAATAAAAAAATATCCCAGTGTGATTGTGGCTTTGTAAAATCCTTGTAAGACACCGGTGTTTGTTGTTTTTGTGAGTTGTTGTTGCTGTTTTTTTTGTCTTGTCACTTTGTAGTCCTGTAGACCAGGCTGGCCTCCAGCTCAGGATTCCACCTGCCTCCGCCTCCGCCTCCGCCTCCCAGGGCTGGGACTGAAGGTGTGGGCCACCACTCCTGCTTTTTTGCTTGTTCTTGAGACTTAATCTCTCACTGTAGCTCAGACTGGCCTGCATTCATGAAGTCCTCTTGGGTCAGCCTCCTATGTGCTAAAATGATGAGCTCGGGCCGCTGTGCCCAGCCAAGTGGCAGTTTCTGCTCCGTGTATCTGGAAGCACATGGGAAGGCGTTGTCCCTCCTTCTGTCAGCGTGTAGAGCCTGATACTTGTTGTCTTTGCTGTCTTTGCTGCTTTGTCTGGACATAATGTAGTCACCCTAGGTGTCTTCACTTTGATACCTTTTGTTCTAGATGTTTACTGTGACTCATCTGGACCCTGCCTTTATTAGTATCTTTTCCTTTGTGGGTGAGAATGCTCAATCGATAGTTTATAGTTTTTAATTGCCAAAGCTGGTTCCTTTAGGTTTATTAGGAAGCCTGGTGTGGTGGTGTTTATCTTTGGTTCCATCACTTGGGGGCAGGTGCAGGCAGGTCTCTGAGTTCCAGGACAGACAGAGCTACATAGTAGGACACTGTCTCAGTTGCTACCCCCACCCCCACTCCATACCCTGCCCCCCCAAAAAAAACAACAAAAAAAAAAAAACAGTTTTTCTCTCTGGACTGGAGAGATGATGGTCCAGCAGTTAAGATGGCTGCTCTTTCAGTTCCCAGTACACACATGGCCACTCATAACTGCCTTAACTCCAACTCCAGGTATCCAGTGCCTTATTCTGACCTCTGTGGGCATCAGGCAAGCATGCATGTACATATATGCATAACATACATACATACATACCATACATATATATATACAGACAGGCAGGCAAAAATAACAAAGTATTTCTCGCTCTCGCTCTCCTCTCCCCCCCCCCCCCTTTGTTTTGGTCCTGTTATATTGTCTCAGTGTCCATCTCCCCTGCTCTCTGTGTTGTGCCAGAACTTCTGATTTGGTGTCCTCCTCCTGCTGGGACTGCAGGTGACCTTTTCTGTATTTTACTTTTCACATGAAGGCACCAGCATTGGAGAAGGCTGGTCTGCTCCCATCAGGAGACACAGAGGAGAGAGAAGGGAACATAAACATGACAATGCCTGAATAGGAAGGAGGGGCCTCCGTATTGCAATCAGGAAGCTGTCTTAGAACTGTCTGCAGCTCTTCTCCTTTGTCGAGTCTAGCTTTTGAAATTTTGGTGACTGTATAGATCTATATAGATACAGACTTTTTATAATTTATTTCTGTTTTGTGTTCATTGGGGTTTTGCCTGCATCTAAGTCAGTGAGAGAGTCAGATACCTTGGAGTTACAGACAGATGTGAGCTTCCATGTTGTTACTGGGAATTGAACCCGGGTCCTCTGGAAGAGCAGTCAATGCTCTTAACTGCTGAGTCCAGCCCCCAGCTATATATTTTTTGGAAATAGGATTTGCTTCCCAAATCATTGTTTTATTTTTCTTTCTCCTCTTCCTTTTTGACATGTATTTCCCTGTTTGGGGAGCGGCATGGGCCCAGCATGTATGTGGAGTCAGGAGTTGTGCTGCCGTGTTGCTTCGGGGATTGAACTCAGGGGGTTGTGTTTGTGTTTGGCAGCGAGCACTTTTATCCCTTCAGCCATTTCACCTGCTCCTACCTTAAAGTGTTTGCTTGTTTTCAAAGACAGGGTCTCCCTATGCAGCCCTGCTTGGCCTGGGCCTAACTGTGTAGACCAGTAGGCCTTAGACTCGCAGATCTGCCTCCTGTGTGCTGGGTGACGTAAGTGCAGCATTGCAGCCAGCAAGTTTTTAGTTCCTTCTTTTATGATTTCAACCACTTAAATATAAAGTTTTAGTGTTCTGGGTTGTTCTACAGAGTACCTAGTTATGATCACATTCCACACATGCTCTGGCCATTTTGGGTTTTACGTTCAGTTTTAAGACCTGGTAAGTATTAGGTCCAGGCCTTTATCGGGCTCAGGGCCATCTTCCCAGAGCCCTTACAACCAGTTTTTGTTAATCCGAGAGATCCTCCGCATCATTCTGGGAGGCAGAGATTTCAATACAGCCCTCCTGACAGCCCTAAGGAAGCAAGTAAGAATGCAATTGTATTCTGAATTCCAGAGCCTGGTTGTTTTTTTTTTTTTTTTTTTTTTTTTTTTGGTTTTTCGAGACAGGGTTTCTCTGTATTGTTTTGGAGGCTGTCCTGGAGCTAGCTCTGTAGACCAGGCTGGCCTCGAACTCACAGAGATCCGCCTGCCTCTGCCTCCCGAGTGCTGGGATTAAAGGCGTGCGCCACCAACGCCCGGCTGTGAGCCTGGTTGTTTTAATCCTTCCCTGGACTAGCCTAAGATGACTGTCCAGGTGGGAGTCCCCTGTACCAAAGGGCACATGCTTTCTGGAGCTGAGCAGTATTCCAGAGGCATTGGAGTCTTGTGAGAAGGTGCCCAACACCAGGCTTACAGCTGGGGAGAAGCTGGGAAGCTTCATGGAACTAAGAAGGTCATCACATTACCTGCATCCTCGTCGACCTGGGCCACTCACTCCACACTCTCCCTCCCCAACAGCCAGAATTCCCAAAATAAAAGGCGTAACGAATTGATGTCCATCTTCCATGGGGATAGGAAGAAGTAAAGCCAAATCTCTGTCTAAATCTTCTGGGAGGGTCTGAGTCAGCTGAGTGCTGGCTGCCTGGTCTTTGTGTGCCGTCTGGGATACGGCTCATCTCCTGTCCACACAGCTATGCAGTGTCATGGTAGACTCACTCTGACCAATCCCAGTGGTTTGACATCTGGCTTCATTACCTTTAAATGGTTTTTTGTTGTTGTTGTTGTTCTTTTGGGTTTTTTTGAGACAGTATTTCTCTATGTAACAGCCCTGGCTGTCCTGGAACTCGCTCTTGTAAACCAGACTAGCCTTTGCCTCCCAGGTGCTGGGATTAAAGGCATGTGCCACCACCGCCTGGCTCAAATGCATCCTTGTTTTAGGAACCAGAATTGGCTCCTAAGAGCCATGCAGGTCAGATGGTGTGCCTGTGTGCCAAAGGGTCCTCTGTCAGAGTAGAGTGAAACTCAAATGCTGGGGGCATAGCTGCCATGACCATGTGGTGCTGGGACAGCTGCCTCTGTTTTGAGGCTGTGTCAGAGGAGAGAGCTTATCCTTTGCCTTCTCCAGGACTGATGAAGCCCATGATGCCCCAAGAGTCCCTCAGTGGGACTGGCTGTCATTCTGAAGATCAGAGCTGTGTGCCCTCACTCCAAGAAAGAAAAGTGACCACCATCGACCCAGCTCCTGTGTGGAGCCCAGAGGGCTACATGGCACTGCAGAGCAAAAGCTACTCACTGGCACCCCCAAAGTCTGCTGATACTCTGGCCATGGGCGCGCATGTCAGGTGAGCGGAGTCCTGCGCTGCGCTACAGGAAGACTGCAGTCCTAGAGGGCCCTAGGAGGAGGCTCCAGCCCTGGGGACACTGCCTGGGGTGGGTGGGGTGCCGTGCAAGCAGGCGTGCTTGAATGCTTGGTGTGAGTGGCTCTTTCTGATGGCCAGGCTGAGGCACAGGAGAAACCCGTAGTCGCCGAATTGTGGGCACAGGGTAAATGGCAGTGGGACAGGCTGGCTCACAGGCAGGCGGATTGAGAGTGGGGTCTGGGATGGCTCCTCCTGTGTGAGTGAAGGAGCTAGCCCTGTCACCCCAGGCCCAGGCTCAGACTCCCAGGCTCCAGCTTGTTCATTGCTCCAGGGGACTGCCAGCTCCTCTCTGTCTCCAGGGTGGTATACTGAGCTGCCACTGTCATCTCCACGCTCACGGACTCCAGGGGCCACCGAGCATCGTGTCTTAAGCTAGAGCAAATGTTTGCTTGTGTTTTCCTTTCTTTTTAAAACACATTTTTTTTCTTTAAAACAAAACAAACAAAACTAAGCCCTGTTCAGCATGGAAACCAGGAACCAAGCTCCAATCACATTGACTGATTTTTCTGGTTCCTTTTCAGGAATGAAAGGTCTTACTCTGCCTCCCCCGGAAGGTCAGGGGGCATAAGTGCCCAGCGCGATCTCTTTGAGGAGAGAGGGGAGGAGTACTTGAGTGCTTTTGACAAGAAGGCCCAAGCAGACTTTGACAGCTGTATCTCTTCTCAAAGAATAGGCCAGGAGCTTTTATTTCCACCCCAGGAAAATGTTCAGGAGGTGGGTGCTCCTGGGGGTCGTACCCCAAACCTCAGGTGTTCCCCATTGGAGCCCGACTTTGTCCCAGCCGAGAAAAAGCCAGAGTATGGCAGTTGGGATGTTGGCCACCAGCCAAAGGCTGCTGACACAGCCAACAGCGTCGAGCTGGAGGCTCCCCGGGAGGAGCCATCCTTCCATGTTCCCTCCTGGGAGAAGGAAGGGAGCCCCAAGAAACAGTCAAACCCAGAGCCCGAGTGGACACCTGAGCCCCGAAGCCAGCACCAAGAGCAGCCAGGCAGGACGCGGAGGTCGGGCCCCATCAAGAAACCCGTCCTCAAGGCCCTGAAGATAGAAGAGAAGGAGAAGGCACTGGACAGGGGCAGGCAAGGCCTGGGAGAGGAGAGCTCACAGCCGGCCATAGACAAAGAGCCCATGTGCAGGGCAGAAGAGGATGAGGATGAAGAAAATAACCCTGCTCTGGCCAATGCCTCCTCCTCTGCCCTGGAGGACAAGGCTGCTGCCCGGACAGGGTATGGCCATGAGACCAGCAAGCTGGATGAAGATGCAAAGTCTGATAAGACCTGGGAGAGCAGGCCCTCAAAGGAGGCCAATGACATTCCTCCAACCAAGAGAAATAACTGGATCTTCATTGATGAGGAGCAGGCCTTTGGGGGCCGGGGCCAGGCCCGCAGCCGTGGTCGTGGTTTCAGAGAGTTCACCTTCCGAGGCGGCCGGCCTGCAGGCAGCAACACAAATGGTCTGTGTGGCACAGGTGTCCTTGGGACTCGCAGCATATACAGTAGTGGCCAGCGCAGTGGCCGAGGCAGGGCCCTTCGTGACTTCCCGCTGCCAGAAGACTGCCCCAGAGCCAAGCCTAGGCGCCGCATTGCCAGTGAGACCCACAGTGAGGGCTCTGAGTATGAGGAGTTGCCCAAGAGACGGCGTCAGCGGGGCTCAGAGCCTGGCCACGAGGGCATGCTCCTGGAAAGGGACGAGGGTGCCTTGAGAAAGGACTCTTGGCGCTCCAACAGGACTTACACAGAGGACCAGGGTGGCCTAGACGCCCGTAGCCGGGGAGCCCGGGCCTGCGGGAGAGCCCTCCCACCTCGCCTAAGCAACTGCAGCTATGGCCGCAGGTCCTTTGTTGCCAAAGAGTCTCCCCACTGGCAGAGCAGGAGCCCAGGCAACTCCTGGCAGGAGTATGGCCCCTCTGACCCGTGTGACCCTCGGCGAACCACTGACAGAGACTATATCCCAGAATCCTACCGACACACTGACACATTTGGCAGCAGGGTCTTTGAGGACAGCCGCATGGAGGACAAGAGGTCGTCCTTTTTCCAAGATGACCATGGGGCAGATTCTGAAAATGCAGAGAACAGGCCCTTCCGTCGGAGGCGGCCCCCACGCCAAGACAAACCCCCTCGCTTCCGGCGCCTCCGTCAAGAGCGGGAGTCCCTGGGCCTGTGGGGACCTGAGGAGGAGTCCCACCTGCTGGCAAGTCAGTGGCCAGGCCGGCCCAAACTCTGTCCTGGGGACAAGAGTGGTCCTGGAGGTCACAGATCCCCGGAGCTCTCCTACCAGAATTCTTCTGATCATGCCAACGAAGAGTGGGAGACTGCCTCTGAGAGCAGCGACTTCAGCGAGCGTAGGGAACGGCGAGAAGGCCTTGCAGCTGAGCCTGAAGCACAAGGGGATGGTGGCCTGTCAGGGGCCAGTTTGGGTGAGAAGAAGGAGCTGGCCAAGCGGAGCTTCTCCAGCCAGAGGCCCCTGGCTGACAGACAGAGCCGCAAGCTGGAGCCGGGAGGGTTTGGGGAGAAGCCTGTTAGGCCAGGTGGGGTTGAGACTTCCCCCCACTGCGAGAGCAAGCAGAGTGGGACGCCTCTGAAAGTCAAAAGGTAACACGCCAGCACCATCTCGGGTCCTTTGTCGTTGTCCTGTTCGCAGCAGCACCAAGTCCATGCATGCACGCCCTGCCAAGCCAGGCGGCCCTGGCCGCTGTGTGTGAACGTCTCCATCACTCGCTCCTGCATTGCTTGTCTGCTTCTCCATGGTGTGTCATTGTTGATGTTGTTGTGGCTTGATCAACTAAACCCAAAGTTCCCCATACCCTGTTTCCCAGAGGCCTCCTTGTGACTGCTGTTCAACCCCATGTCCCTAGAGTCCGGCCTCCGAATGTCTTCTCAGCCCTACAGTGATGACTGTTGCCTGTGTGTGGTGCCTGTGAGCTCTGGCCAGTCTCCCTGCTTGTTCCTGCTTGGAGCTGGCCCAAGACATCACTTGCCTTGTGGTTATGTGGAGATAGCTCTTGCCCTTGGTGGTCCTGCCTCCCTCTTGCTGCCTGGGCAGGGCTGGAGCCACCAGGAAAAGAGCAGAACAGGCCGCTTGCAGCCCATGAGCCTGGTTCTGTTGGATTGGAGGGTTTTGGGTAGACAGTCTGTTGTGTATTGTCCTATTGCCACAGGCTTGCTTGAGGATGGGCTTGCTGTCCAGTCAGTGCCTCGGGTTGAGGTTTCAGGGGTAGCAGAGGTTTTACCCCTCCTGTCCTTAGAATTCAGGCTTCAAAACTTGAGTATACATACCCTGAAGAAGTTCACTCAGGAAAGTGTGTGTTCTTTCAAGTGTTTGTGTGACCATACTCCAGCCCCCAAAAGGCATCATGAATGTCCTCAAGAGGCCTGCGGCCAAGAAAGGCTGGTGGCCCTGTCCTGGGTTCATTCACCCAGCCTCTTCTCCCCACTGCCGCCCGAAGGCAGCATGTGGTGGGGGGATGGAGTGTTGGGAAGGGGTGTTGACTGCCTTCCCCTTGATCAGGTAGAGCCCTGCCGCACAGAACTGACCCAGCACACAGCATGTGCTGTCAGCAGGCCCTCTCGACCCTTGACAGCTCAGCCAAAGGAACTGGAGCTAGATAGCTGCTGTGTCTGTGTGGGCCTTGTGCATTCGGGGATTTTCTCACCCTCTTTCCTAGCCTTTGAACGACGGTGGATTCATGAGATTCCCCTTTCTCTGCAGGTCTCCAGATGAGGCCTTGCCCGGAGGCCTTGGCTGCAGCAATGGAAGCCACTCATCCTATGCCTTGGAGCGGACCACTCACGCCAGCTCTGACAGTCCTGAAACCACCAGTAAGAAAGCAGAGAAGGAGGCTGCCTTGGCTGCCCAGAGGGCTGGTGAGCAGCAGGAAGAGGCCCGGAAGCAGTTTGACCTGGGCTACGGAAGTGAGTCAGGGATAGACTCTGGGGCTTGTTTGGAGTGAGGGCTGTTCAAAGCAACTCAGACTCCTGTCTTACAATGCATCCAGCGTGCTGAGCCCGTGACATCTTGTGGCTTCCCAGATTGAAGGGGGATGCCCAAAGCTTCAGGGTGCTCTCGTGTGTCCAAGGCCACATGAATATCCACGAAACAGAACTGGGATTATGGGTGTGCATCTCTAAAGGCAGTTTTCCCCAATGTGGTGCTCCCTGAGCACCTCTGGGTTGTGCTGGCAATGTCTCCCGTTACATGGGCATGAGAAGGGTGGGTACCATGTCCAGGTTTCCATAGGCACTGGTGAGCCAGGCATGTGCTGGATACAGGTACTTGTTACGTGACTCTTGCATTGTTCTTTCTGTGATTTTGGTTCAGATGCCATCATTGATAACTGTGGATCCAGCCCTGGGGAAGAGAGTGAAGTGGGCTCCATGGTGGGCGAAGGCTTCATTGAAGTCCTGACCAAGAAGCAGCGCCGCCTGCTGGAGGAGGAGAGAAGAAAGAAGGAACAGGCTGCTCAGGTGAGGCCATGGGCCAGAGGGCAGCCCTGGGTGGACGAAGGAAGGGAGAATATCCGTCAGCATGCATTGTCTCTCACTGCCTGTCACTACTGTTCTGAAACAGACAGGAGAAAATGGAGTCACGGTGAGGCACCTGTCAGTTTCTAACAACCAAAATGTGACCAGCCAGGTCTGAAGTCTGCCCCAGCATTCCTCTGTCTTCCGCTTTCCCTAATGCTCCAGCCTGGCCCAGAGACTTCCTGTTCCTGCTCCAGTCTGGCTGTCCTAGCAATGCACTGAGTCTGAGGTTTTGAAGACAAGTGTCAGGCATCTCAGGCTAATTTAGGTGGTGGCCAAGGTGCTTCCCAGGGGAATTTGTCACCTGTCATGTCATGAGAGACTACATTGACCTCTATCCTGTAGGTACCTGTCAAAGGTCGAGGCCTTTCATCACGTATTCCTCCTCGCTTTGCTAAGAAGCAGAGCAGCCTCTGTCTGGAGCAAGGCGACGTGGCTGTGCCCGGCAGCAGCCTTGGCACGGAGATCTGGGAGAGCGGCAGCCAAGGTGAGGTGGGTGCCCGGCTCAGAAGAGCAGGGCTCTTCCCTGAGAGTCACACCTTTGAGCCCGGAATATGAGGGAATCATCACCTTTATCTTGGGCCCCACAGAGCCCGTGTTGAGCAGCATCTGAACTGAATCTTGGAGGCAGTCGCTGGGGTGGCACATCCCTGGCTCCAGTACAGTACACTAGTAGAGCTGGTAGTGCCCCTGGCACCTTGGAGGAGGCATCATATTTCCTTTCCTAGTGGAAGAATGACGAATGGCCAGGATGGTTAGGGAATGCCCTTCCCCAATAGAAAGAAAACTCTTATGACCCTCGCTCATGTTTTCTGTGGAAAGGCAAATTTCAGACCCAAGTAAGTGTACCTTCCTTCTTGAAAAATTTATTTTCTTAATGTTGTTTTTTTTTAATGTCCCACACAAAGCTGTGCTTCTAAGCTCACTTTCCAGCGCAAACCCATTCCCGTTGATCAGGTTGTTCTTAAAGGCCTCTCTCATGTGGTACCTGTGCAGCAGTGAGCCTGCAAGATTGTACAGTTGCCTGGAAGATTTTCTGTGGCTTGCACAGGCCCTAGGAAAGCCCACTCTACAGAGTGATGGCTGACCCCAGGCCAGGGCAAATGCCACAGTGGGTGACTCATGTTCCCAAAAGTCTGCTTTTCCCTAATTTCACTCATCCTTATATTCCTGGTGAAAATCTTGGTTGTAGTATGTCGCAAACACCACCGTGTGATGTTCTACCCTGGTAGAAGGACCAACGATGGTGGGGTGTGGCTCAGTGGCCGTACAGCACGCTGCACGCGTATCACCAGCATGAATGCGCAACCAGTTACCAAATACCCACAGCCAAGTTGTCATGGCAGCAAACACCAGACTGAAGAGGGCCGTCTTCTGAGACGTCAAGGATTCTGTAGTGTCAGTTGTTCAGACCAGGCCTCCGTGTGTGACTTTAGAGCGCATACCATGCATGTACATTTTCTGGGCTCAGCCTCTGGGGCTTTGGTTGGATTCTGGGAAAGGTCTGTGAGCTTACTGAATTGCGCTGTGCCTGCCTGGACCTTTCCAAGACTTAGAGAAGCTGCCCACTCGCAGCTTCACTGCAGGGAGTGTCCACACAGGACTGATGGAGAGTCGAAGTACTACAGAGTAAGTGTTGCTGGGTGTGGGGGTGCACACCTTTAATCTTAGCGCTCAGGAGGCAGAGACAGCTACACAAGACCCTGTCTAAAAAATAATTACCTCTCTCCATGACCCCCTCTCCCCCAAAAAGAATGAAAAGTATGAAGTCGATTCAAATTCCTAGCAAGTTTGGGTTTTTTTGCTTCTGTTTGTTTAAATCTGGAGATGCTGGTATTGAGGGAAGCTCTCATAGCAGTGCCTGGGTCAGATTCAGTCACAAAGATCTGTCTGTGGCAGTGCGTGCAAGCAGAGCTCCTTGGGGCGGTTCCATGAACTTGTCCTTTCAGTTGGTGTCCACTCCGATGGAAAGGAACTCACAAGCTCATGTCTTCCAGGCTGCCTGTCTCTCTTCAATGCCCTGACTCTGTCCCTCTTCCTTGGCAGCTCTCCCTGTGCAGGGTGCAGCCAGTGACTCATGGAGGAAAGCTGTCACTGCCTTCAGCAGTACTGAGCCTGGCCACTCAGAGGTGAGTACCGCCGCCACCCGCATGCCCTGGTGCTACAGTGCATTCGCTGGTACTTGGGTCTGTACACGGTGCCCTGCCGTGCTCTCTGGCTTTTGTCTGGTGCCTGCATAAGCAGAGAGACAAGGGAGAGGCCACTGGAAGGAGAGGCATCTTGTTGAGCAGGCCTTGGCTGGCATCTGTATCCTTAGAGTAAATTCAGCATGGCAGCATTGTCTTAGGCCCGCACAGGCTCTGGTGGTCATGAGCTTGAGTAGGATTGGTGTGTTCAGGACTGGAGTTAGGAGTGGAGGTTGTGTTTGGGGAGTAAAGCCGGGGCCGCACACGGCTTACCTCCTGGATGATTGTGTGTTGCAGTTTGGAGACGGGGCTCTAACCCATTTTGTGCTCTTCACAGCAGGGTTTTAAAAGCAGCCAGGGAGATAGTGGCGTTGACTTAAGTGCTGAGTCTCGGGAGTCATCCGCAACCTCCTCACAGCGAAGTTCCCCATATGGAACTCTCAAGCCAGACGAGATGAGTGGGCCTGGCCTGGTGGAACCCAAGGCTGACAGCCACAAGGACCAAGCTCAGAAGCAGTCTGAGCACAAGGTAACCTGGAAGTCCCCACATGGTGGCCAGGGCCTGGGCAGAAGGGGCCTTTCTTTGTCTTCCTTGATGCCAACGGCACCTGGAAACGTGTTTGCAACCTCTCTGCTTTCCCACCAAGGACTCAGATCAAAGCCCTGGACAGAACAAGGAGCACAGACCGGGACCCATCGGCAACGAGCGCTCTCTAAAAAACAGAAAGGGCTCAGAGGGGGCCGAGCGGCTGCAAGGGGCTGGCGTCCCACCTGTTAACGGGGTGGAGATTCGTGTGGATTCCGTGCTGCCTGTGCCACCCATTGAGTTTGGAGTTAATCCAAAAGTGAGTTTCCCCCCTTTACTCTTCTTCCTTTCCTGTACTTAGGTGGGCACTTAGGATTGTCTCCTAGAGGAAAAAACGAAGCTAGAAGCTGAACATTATTTTGGGAAGAGTGTTGTTATGGAATAGGCAGATGTTACGGGATTGCTTTACAGATGACCATTCTGGCATCAGTTGGGCTCAGAGTCCAGCCAAAGTAGGGAGAGACAAGTCAGGTGACTTCCTTTCTTGTCCGTGGTTATCTCTCGCTCATAGCTCTGGTGACTGTTACATAGTGGACATTCTCATTGATGTGGGCCCAGTGATGGGTGAGCTGGTGGTGCTCAGACACTGTGCCCTTCTCTTCCAGGACTCTGATTTCAGCCTGCCACCTGGTTCTGTTTCTGGTCCTGTAGGGAACCCAGTGGCCAAGCTTCAGGATGTCTTGGCTAGTAATGTAAGTCAGCGTGTCCGCCTCCCGCTCTGCCTGGCACATGCCAGCAGCTCCGTTGCTAGCCATTCCTAGGTCTTTGGCCCTTTGGCTAGAGGTGCGATTAGTCCTCTGAAGGTCTGGGTTATTTGGCTTGCTTTAGCTCCAGTCTCCATGTTGTGCCAGCTGTGGTGCAGGCTGCTCTCCCTAGGGAGAGAACCCAGGGCAAGCACTCTAACGCCGAGTCTCACACTCCCATCTCCAGTTGGGCTTCAAAGTGTGTGAAGGCCATTAGCGAGGTCTCCTCACTCTGGGAATCTTGAGTGAGGGTCCAGTCACTGCATTTCCCACCTGTGTTAGGAGGGCCCAGAAGCTGAGTGACAGCCACCACTTTTACTCTCTGGACCTGGCCATCTCCCTAGCCACGCATGAGGTTCCTGCCGAAGCAGGTGTTTGTCTCTTGGCAGCTAGTCCTTTTTTGTGTCGCGAGGACATGGCTGTGTGGAGAGCTAGTGGAGTGTGGCTGTGCAGGTGCTTCTGTCATGGAACCTGATCTAGGCAGCCTGCTGTAGATGAGGCTGGTCACGGGGTGTGTTTGGATGAGTCTGTCCCACGTCCCTGAGCCCGCGTGTGTGCATGACTTTCTCTCTGTCATCTCCAGGCAGGACTGACACAGAGTATTCCCATCCTTCGTCGGGATCATCACATCCAGAGAGCCATCGGCCTGTCTCCCATGTCTTTCCCTACTGCAGACCTCACACTGAAGGTAAAGCAGGCCTGAGCTGGGCTAGGGTCCTCACCAGCACCTCAGCTTGTGATGAGGTGCAGAGGGAACCCTCCTGCACCCTGGCTTAGATTGCTGCTCTCCCCGTTTGTCCCCAGTAGTAATTTGCATCCCTCCTCCCTCTTGCTTCCAAAGATGGAGTCTGCACGCAAGGCTTGGGAAAACTCCCCCAGTTTGCCGGAGCAGAGCTCTCCAGGAGGTGCAGGCTCGGGCATCCAGCCTCCATCCTCTGTGGGTGCCTCCAACGGGGTCAACTACAGCTCCTTTGGTGGAGTGTCCATGCCACCCATGCCTGTGGCTTCTGTAGCGCCTTCTGCTTCGATGCCAGGTATCACATCCCCTGAGCCAGGCTCAGGAGCCTTCTCCATTCACTGTGGAGAGAAGCTGGATTAGCAGCTCTGTGTTGTCACGTACAGAGCGACACTTGTGTCTAAGCAGGTGGTTACAGCTTCCCACATGCTATGGGCACTGTAACTCTTGCTCTGATGTGGGAAGCAGGATTGTAGTGCCATAGGGAGGCACTTGGAATTGCCAGAGAAGAGTGGGTGAAGATACAGCTCTAGTCAGTGCCAGCTCCCTGGTGAACCACTCACGTATCCCATAAAACTGGCCTGTGGTGCTGTGCCCCAGGTGGTTGCACCCATGACACGAGGGCTCGCTCGCACCCTCCATTGCTGGTACCTGTTTTGACTCTTCCTGTCATTACGCTTGTTGTTGGGGATTTTGAGGTCCCGGCTGCCAAGGTCTCGGTGATGCAGTTCCAATAGATCCTTCTGACCCTCCACTGTGGACTCAAAGCAGGGAGATGAAGAGGACAGAGACTGAGAGACCAAAGCAACTCTCTTCCATAGTAAATAGCCCTCCCAAAGGCCCGGCAGCTAGTGAGTGGTGAAGTCGTTGGGTGCTCTGCTCCTGCGCGTGTCTGGGTTTCCTGAGGTGTATGCTGCAGCAGAGAACCACCAAGCCACTACTCACACGAGTGTTAGGCCCACTGATTCCCCTGGGAAACATGGCCATGTGCAATGGGGAGACTTGATCCTTTTCTTCCTTGTTTACTTTCTGTTTCCAGGCAACCATCTCCCACCTCTGTACCTGGATGGCCATGTATTTGCAAGTCAGCCCCGACTGGTTCCTCAAACGATACCTCAGCAGCAGAGTTACCAGCAGGTGAGGGTAGGGAGCCAGGTGGCCAGAGGTGAGAAGCAGCATGGCGGTCACTTTGCATTTCTTTGCTGGTGGTCTTGCCCTGCCCATGTGAAACCCAGGACTGGCAAACCATAGCACCCAGAGAGTGTATGTAGAAAGAGTCCATGAAAGATAAAGAGGCATGGAGTAGACGCCCCAGATACTGCTGATTCCTTCTCATAGCCCTCGCTTCTCCTAGCTGGGGGCCAGCTGCATTGGGGTTGCATTGGTAATAGGGTCCTGGAAGACCTGAGTCTCTGGACACAGACTCATTAGAGAGTTTTAGAAACAGGCCGGATGTTGTTGGCTTTGCACAAGATTGGCATTCTGTCTGTGCTGGGGACTGGTCTGTTTGGAGCCTCCTTCTGAAGGCTGGTGCCGCCCCCCTGCACACCTTGGCAGTGGTCCTTCCGACCCAGAGGAGGGGGTGCCCTCTGCTCTCAACATGTTGTTGTGCTTAGTTTTCTAAGATTTTATCCACCTAAATGAACTTCGTGTCCCTTTTAGTCTTTAAAGGTTGTTTTTATTTTATGAGTCTGGGTGTTTTGCTTGCATGTATGTCTATGCACTATGTGCATGTACTGCCCACAGAGCCTCCGGACCTGAGCTTACAGCCATGTGGATGCTGAGAACTGAACCCAGGTCCTCAACAAGAACGAAGTGCTTTTAACCATGAGCCATCTTTCTAGCCCTTAGAGTTTTTGAGTCTTACTCTCTAGTCCAGGCTGACCCATAACTCCCTATTTAGCCCTGGCTGACCTGGAATTTAGAGAGGTCTTCTAGCTTCAGCCACGGACTGATATTACAAATGTGAACACCACACTCAGCTGGCATGCACCCTAAAAGGACGCTCCAAATCTGCCTCCACTGATGTGCACGATGGGACTCCTTATACCGTGCACCAGTGTTGGGGTACACCATGCCTCGTTCTTGCTGCTGGTCTTTTGCAGTGGGAAGCCAGATCAGATGTGTTGGGACATGCCCTTGCTAACCTGGGCCAGGACCACGTGGGGTGGGGAGGCATGTTGGGGCCAATGCAGTCATCACCTGGCTCCTGTTTGCAGGCTGCCACTGCCCAGCAGATCCCGATCTCCCTCCACACATCTCTGCAGGCCCAGGCACAGCTTGGTCTGAGGGGTGGGCTCCCCGTCTCCCAGTCCCAAGAGATCTTCAGCTCCCTGCAGCCTTTCAGGTGAGAGAGACTTCCATGCTGCCTGCAGATGGTCTCCACTCCTCTCCAGTCCGCTACTACTGTGGAGTCCTTTCCTTCTGCCTGGTCATGGTCCTCTTCCTGTGTCCTTCCCTCTACCCAGAGCCAAATCCTGACCCCCACACTCCGACTGCTCACCCCCACACCCGTCTCCCTAGCTCTCTTTTAGTATACATGATGGCCTCAGCCTTGAACATCATTGAGTGTTCCTGGGCCTGCCACAGCTGGGTACGTTCATAGTCTGCAGTTCAGAAATGTCAGGCTCACCCAGACATTTCTGAGTCATTCTCTGGGGAAGCAGGGATCTCTTAGCACGTCCTCAGTCTGTGTTGAAGATGGTTGTGTACTGATCCTGACCTCCATCTGGCTTTTGCAGGTCTCAGGTGTACATGCACCCCAGCCTGTCACCGCCCAGCCCTATGATCCTCTCCGGGGGCACGGCCTTGAAACCCCCATACTCAGCGTTTCCCGGCATACAGCCCTTGGAGATGGTGAAGCCACAGTCTGGCTCACCCTACCAGCCCATGAGTGGAAACCAGGCTCTGGTCTACGAGGGCCAGCTCGGCCAGGCTGCCGGGCTGGGCACCTCCCAGATGCTGGATTCCCAGCTTCCACAGGTCAGTGTGGTCTCTTGCACGAGCCCGCCTTCCTCTACCGTCCGCTGCCTCCTGTCTGTGCTGGTGCTCACCCACTGTCCCCGCCGCTCTCCTTTCCTCGAGATGTTTGGAGGCTATGGGAGTGCACACGGGGCAGGCGCTCCTCCCTCCCTTCTTCCCCACTTAGGCCTGAGCCATAGACTGCGGCCCCGCCCTCTCCACGTGTTGGAGCTTCCCAGTGCCAAGTCTGTCATCACACCCTTCCTTCCTCAACCTCGAGCCCTGCGTGGCAGCTGAGTGGGCCCTTCCTCTTTTGGGCTCCTGGCTTACCCTCTTCCTCCATCTTGACGCCCTGGACCGTGGCTATAGTATGAGAGTCACACACGGTTACGCTCTGCTTTTCTAACTGATAGCTCCCGGTTGTCCAACTCCAAGTACTTCAGCCCCTCCCTCCCTGGGGAGTAGCCCATCAGAGCCATGCACTCTCTGTCTCCTGTCAGCCGTCCAGCCCACAGCCCCCTCTTGCTTCTTCTCCCATGCCACTCCCTCCCCCATTCACCAGAGAAACGTGGTGATGGCCACACCTCCCTGTCCTAGGAAGTTCCTCTCAGCCTGCAGGCCACCCTGTCCGTCCAGTCCACATTGTCCTCCATCCTGCTCCTCCTACCCCTCCCTCCTCTGGTTCTTCAGCTGCTCCTGTCACCTCTGCCTGTAGGAAAGACTCAGTGTTTGTTCACACACGTGCGTGCACATGCACGCACGCACGCCTGTCCTCACTGCCCTGTGCCATGCTAGCCTGTGCAGTGAGTGAGCACAGCATCCCGGCTGTCCTGGAAGGGCAAGAACCAGGCCTGCTCTGCCCGGGCATTGCTCTTGCCCAGCCGTGTCTGGCCCTGTTGCACTTTGCTCTGAGGCCCTGGTGCCACCACAAGTCTCCGTGATGCGGTTCCAATAGATCCTTCTGACCCTCCACTGTGGACTCAAAGCAGGGAGATGAAGAGGACAGAGACTGAGAGACCAACGTGGCCCAGCCCTCCCCTTCTTGTTCTGGATTTGTGTCGTGATCGCTTGGGCTCTGTGGGTGCTGCTGTTCTGCTATCTGGCATGCTCCTCTGAGGCTCCGGTTTGGTCTTGTTTTCCGCCACTATTGATGTGAAAGAGTGTGCGTCACCTCTTTGTGCCCCACAAAGAAACACAAGGAGAGACTTCCTGTGTGGCTGTCGTTGGGGACCCTCTCTGTTGTCTTCTTCCTCTGAGTGCCATACAGCTTTGTGTGCCTGTCGCATACATTGTTCTGTCGTTGTAACTGGTCCCCCGTACCCATTGTCTGTTTGGTGAAGCTCCAAGGTCTGAGGACGCACAGACCACCAGGAGTGCTGCGTGACTCCCAGACGCATGCTTCAGCTTTCTCCCTGACTGTCCTCTCTCCCCACAGCTCACGATGCCACTGCCTCGGTATGGCTCCGGGCAGCAGCCACTGATCCTGCCGCAGTCCATTCAGCTGCCTCCAGGACAGAGTCTCTCTGTTGGGGCCCCCAGAAGGATTCCTCCACCTGGATCCCAACCACCAGTCCTGAACACCAGCAGAGAGGTAAGGGGTTTCAGAGGGCTTTGTCCGGCTAGGACTTTATCACAGAGCTACTGTTAGAGAAAGGGCAGGCTCCCAGCCCTGTGTAGTTTTTCTAACCCTGCAAACTCCAGAGTCCCAGATGCCGGAGACTGCCTGCTTATGTGTGAACTAGTGGGGCAGCCTGGCTCTGGCCCTGCTAGACTACCAGGCAGCAAGGAAGGTGGATAACCAGTGCCTCAACCAATGGGGAGGAACCAGCCACTTAGAGCTGCCACAGATGCAGGACTCAGATCTTGAATAAGGACGGAGTCTGCACTTCTCATCAGGGTTAGGGTTAGCTCTGATGTGGCTGGCGTCCGGGTGATAGTCCACAGACAGATTGGAATCAGTCCTCACCTGAGCCTGGTTGGAGATGGGGCCACTGTGGGCTAGGCTGTCTCTGGGCTCCTGAGTGACCGTGTTGCTTCTTGGCCACTCTAGTCCGCTCAGATGGAGCTGAAAGGGTTCCACTTTGCCGACAGTAAACAGAATGTTCCTACCGGAGGCTCCGCACCATCCCCGCAGGCCTACAGGTAAAGATAAACCGGGGGTTGGGGCTCATGGCCGAGTACTCCATTTGTCACTCCAGAGAGCCCATGTGTCCAGGGAGGATGGTGGACGAGGACTGCAGCGTGGCCCCTTCCTGTGCCCGGTGTCACTGCCGCATCCCTCTGATATGCGGGGTTAGTTGTCTGTGGCAAAGGGAGCCCTAGGGAAACCAGGTTTGTTTCTGATCTGCAGAGGAATCTGAGGAGTGAGAGACCATTCTGGGGTGTCAGCCTCAGCCACAGGGTCTGTTGTATCCAAATTCACCCTCTGAACCCCATCAGAGAACTTTTCAATGCTGGGTATGTGTAGCCTTCCTTCCCATACCACTAATTGCTACTCACTGTTTTCCTTGGTATGGGTCTCTACCTCTAGTAACCATCCGTATTCTCTTCCACCTGAGTCAGAGGTATCTGTTGTCATTGGCAGTGGCTCTTGGTCCCCCATGCTGGGTTGGGGATATAGCTCTAGCCCTGGGCCTAAGGGTATGATACCTTTCGTTTACACTTTGAAGGGGATAGACACACCTGCAGTGTCTTTGCAAAGGACACCCAGTAACACGCTTTGCAGATAGAGTCGTACCATCTTGTAGCCCACTGTCACTCTGACCATTCAGACCGACACTCTGCTCTGTTGGGTTGGAACGTCCTCCATCCTTTCCCTTACATGGCTTCCATAAAAAGAGGGTTCGTGAAGACCCCTCAGTTTGCCTTTTTTATATTCTTGCTTTTGTAGCTTCTTTGTGTTTGTGCATGAGTGAATTTTGTTTTGCTACCATTACCTGGCAGAAGGTCTGCACAGCAGAGCTGTGTGGAGGGAGCACAGCGCAGTGTGCGGGGGGTGGGGGAGCTCAAGAAGGAGCTCACACAGGGCAGTGGTGGCGAACGCCTTTAATCCCAGCACTCGGGAGGCAGAGATAGGTAGATCTCTGAGTTCAGGGCCATTCTGGTCTATAAATTGAGTTCCAGGACAGGCTCCAGAGCTACAAAGAAACCCTTTCTTGAAAAACCAGGAAAAAAAAAAAGGCTCTCACACACCATAGTTCTGCCTGCCCAGTGTGATTGCAGTAGCCTGGGTACAGTAGGCTATAGGGAAGGAAACAGCTTTGGCCTTGAAAGAAACTGTTGGCTCTCTATCTGCAGATTAAAGCTATTTGGGAGTGGGAAGGGACCAAAATAATTTTTTTTGTCATCATTCCTAAGCAATACAGTGTAGCTGCTGTCTACACTGTATGTGTTTGTATGTAGTCTAGAGAGAATTGTTCAAGTATATAGGGAGAGCTAGGCGTTGTGGGTCAGTGTAAGCACATGCACACTTAAATTCATGAGGCCCTAGGTTCCATACCCAAAACCAAAAGAGACAATACTGGAGGACATGGCTAGGTCACAGGTGAATACCATGTTAACTCTATCTGAGGGATTTGAGTCTCCATACCTGGGTGTCTCTGAGGTACTAGGAACAATCTCTTCAGAGATGAGGGGCTGCTAGATGTAGAATCACAGCTGTCATGGTTCCTAGAGAGGCTTCTGTGACTGAAACAGTGTAGTTTCCCAAGGTTTGGGGAAAATAGGGTAGCTAGGACATGCCTTGTAAAAAGGAGTTCTTGGTCAGAAACTCTAGGGGTATATTGTCCCCAAGATGGCTTTTAGGGGGATGGTTGTACCCGACATCACACAGCCCTCACCCAAGGGACTCACTGACCTCTTCCTAGTACTTTCTGACATGGGACCTTTTCCTCATTAGATGTCTGATGACTTTGGGGACTAAAAGCAGTTATAAATTCCTCCCCTCCCTGAGTGAAGATGGGAAAACCTTTGGTGTATGTGGTTCCTTAGTGCTGGTTAGAAGCCTTATTTAGGCACTGTGTCACACTAGTCCCAAGGATGGCCACTGTCTGTCTGTTCATAGCAAGGGCTGCAGCTCCTTTCCCGGCTGTTTCTCCTGAAGTGCTGAGGGGCCGCCCTGCTCCCGTCTTGCATTCCCAGTTGTCTCAGGTCTGTTTTCTGTCTGCTAAGGCCTCTGGCCAGAGGGCCCTCCCTGGCTCGATCTGCCTCTGTGTGCTGCTAGGCTTTTGACTCCATCTCTGTGGTGACACGTGTGTATTCTCAACCCTGCCTTTGGTTTTTTCAGGCCTAGCTCTGCTAGCCCCAGTGGGAAGCCCTCTGGATCAGCAGTTAACATGGGCTCTGTGCAGGGACACTACGTTCAACAGGTAGAAGATGGCTTTCCAGACCCTGCAGCCCTGGACACTTAGGCCTGTCTCCCAGCGCCAAAGGAGAGGGGACTGTCCAGCTGGGGGGTGCTTTTTGTTAAGGGAAGCGTGCCCTAGTGCTTAGAGCTGGGTCACCTGAGTGGCTCGCCCTCCTGGCAGAAGCGCTTCTTGATGGGTACCTGGATCGTTCCTTGTTCTGCACATAAGGGAAGGTACTGGTTCCCACAAGAGGTGACGTCAGAAGGCGTTCTGTCCCCAGCCATTTGGGGCTCTTATGGCGCTCTAGGAGACATGGTTTGGCCTGGGTTAGCTCAGAGACTGGGGTGTGTGCGTGTGGTAGCTCTAGTGAGTGGTGTGGCATGCCTGTCTTCCTGGGTGGGAGCATAGACGGGGTGCAGCTTCTCCCACTTCACAGTGAGGGTTTCTCAGTGTCTTTCCCTGTAGACCCTTCTGTCTTCCTCCTGTAAGCTGGGCTGGGGCTCCAGAGTGCAGAGCCTTGGGGCGTTAATAAAAGTTTCGCTGGTAGGTGAGGTGTGGGAGTGGCCCTCTTCTTACACCCTTTCCCAGTGTGCTGGGGGTCACTCCTGCTGTGGGGTGGTTTCTGACCCTTTCTCCCAGAGCTGAGGGCATAACCCCAGTAGAGCACCTCCTTAGCATATGTGAGGCCCTGGATTCCATCCTTGGCACTGAGAAAGAAGGGGAAGGAAGGAGAGAAAGCAAGAAAAAGACCAACAAAGCTTTCTCCCGGAATTTAGACCGAGTGAGCAAACCTGCACTGGTCACCCCGTGCTGGCCTCTGCTATGCAGAGCTGCGGGCTGGTGGAACCCTGCCTTGGAATCTTTGGATCAAATGGGGTCCTGGGGAACTGTAATTCAGCGTACTTGGGAAGGGGGCTTAACTGAATCATAGGCCAAGATCTGGGAGATCCAGGTTGGCCCCATCCCTCTATAGATAGGTGGATGCCCAGGCCTATGTGGGGTACGCTGGTCTGATGAAGGCGCTGTTTGCTTGCCAGTGGGACATGGGGTGCACTGATCTGGAAAGGTCCTTCCCATCAGCCTTGGGACCTGAAATGCCCCACCCAGGATGTGTGCTACTGCTGAGTTCCCTGTCGAGGCCCTGAAGTTATACATTCAGTGCCCGTGGGAGGTGTTGGGGCATTCTGACTGCACACCAGACTCCTCCCTGGTCTTTTGAGGGTAGCTTTTAGTCTGACTCAGGAGCAGGGAGGGAGTGGTCTCTACACATTTTGCCCTGCCGTCACTTTGGTTTTCCTGTCCATCTGTCCAAAGGCAAAGCGAGTGGATGAAAAACCCAGCCTGGGAACCGTGAAGCTGCAGGAGGCCTCCTCAGCCGCTTCCCAGATGAAGCGGACCGGAGCAATCAAGCCTCGGGCCGTCAAGGTGGAGGAGAGTCAAGCCTGAAGGGAGGAGAGTCAAGCCTGAAGGGAGGAGAGTCAAGCCTGAAGGTGCCTGGCATCTTTGCCTCACCCTAACAGGGATGGTGCACCACCGCCGGCCTGGACTGCCACCACCTGGGACCTTGCCAGATCCACCATCCTACTGTCCTACCACTTGGCCTGGACAGCGCTCTCTTGTGCTCCCAAGAGCTCCTGAGAGTTCCTTGTCAGCCAGCCCACACCGTAGATATATGGCATTGACCTGCTTGCTTTGGTACAAAAGAGCAGACTCCCCTCCTTCCCGCCCTCTGCCCAGTGACTGTGGAGTGAGTCTCCTGTGCAGTGCAGACCCGCCCGCCCGCCCCGTTCCCCAGGCACAGTGGTTTGGCAGCAGGGTCATTGTAGCTGGAGGCTTTTTGTTTTAAAAAGCAGCTATGGTTTTTACAAAGGGGAAAGGAGAACAAAATGCTAGCTACGTCTATATAGCTGAACTTTTATACGTTCCTTGCTGTCCTCACTGCTCTGCTGTCTCCAGTGGTCTCCTTTTATCTGTCCTGTTTGACATGTCACAGCGCTACCTTAAGAGGTGATTCTTAAGAGTGACCCTCCCCCCCCCACACACACACACAGTTGGCTAACCTTTAGAGTCATCAAGGATATGACTAGACCATCTGGTTGGCCCATCACTGCCGAGGGCACTGTTAGGTTGGTGCCTGAGTTCAGTTCCACCCTCGAGCCTGGAGTTAATGTTTCGGCATAAGAATTATTATTTGTTCTGGGCCCTTCTGAAGTCATTGGGCTTACTGAGTAGCGGGCACCAGAGAGGGATTGTGAAGTTAGTCAGCATTGTTTTCCAGATTGGCAGAAGAGGGCAAGGCACAGACCCCACTTGGGGACTATGCGTTTGAGGCTCTGTGCACTTGGGGACTATGCATTTGAGGCTCTGTGCCTTGGCACTCTGGGTGGCTGTGTTCCCCACTCATTTCCTTTCCTCCTCCTCTGGGTCCCTGTCCATCCACCCCTCACAGCTTATCACCAAAATTAGGACAAGGACGTAGATGGGTACCTGTTAAGAGTTTGCAACAGGAAAGGCTATGGAACATTCCTCATGTCCTTCACTCCCAGCAACAAAGCAGGATGTTGGCAGTTGGTTGCCAAGTTGCCTATCCTTAGACAGCTGGGCGGGGCCAAGGTACCAGTGGCCAGCTGAAAAGCCTGTGTAGCCTCCTTCCCTAAGAGGATGGTTGGTTTCTTGCCGGTTTTGTGAGCTCTTGTATGCTGAGCTTCTTGCTTTCACTGAGAACAAGGCAATCATCCTGCTGCCCAAAGGAAAGTGAGGGGGAACGTCACCCTGCTCAGACGCTCTTCAGGATTTCCCAGGTCATCACCCACTTGGGGATGCTGGGAAGGACCACCTGCCTCAAAGCGCTCAGTTAGTGGCAGGGCTGGGACAAATCATCTGTCCTGATCACCATGGATGTGAGAGCCGAGAAGCCTCTTAGAAGCCCTGCAGTGGCTTCATGCTGCCTTGCTACTTGTTAGAAGGAAGCAAACATCAGCTTCCCCCAGCAAGCAGTGCCATGTCCCCAGGGTTCCCTGACAGGGCAGTCTTAGGAAAAGCATCATTGTATCAGAAGTCTCAGCCTCTCTCCCTTCTTGCCTCTGCTCTCCAACTTCGTCCAGTGTTTGTCCCTCTTCTCTCACAGTCTCCTCAGAAGCACTGCCCACGCAGAGTACCTCATCTGCTGTTCCACTCACCCTGGGAGTGTGGTTACCGTCCCAGTGACTGTGTCCTGTGTCCCACTGCCAAGTCTTGGTAAAAGCCACACAGTCACCTCTGCCTGTCCTTAGAATTGCGGCCAGACTCACATCACCTAACGCTGGTGGACATACATTATGTGTCAAAAGAAGCGTTTTCTCCTTCAGAATTTCAGTCCAGGATGCTGTTACAAACTCAAAATGTGTCCTTTAGGTAGCCTGCTGTCAGAATGGCAGTACTTCCTGTTTGAGAAGAAAAATGAGGAGGTTGCCTGTTTTCAGCCCTTTCTCTCACCCTGTGTCCCTCCTGCCTCCCACCCCGAATAAAGACGAGAAACACTAGAATTTATTTATATGTATTGATGTTGTAGGTCTAGAAAAGAAAAGTGAATGTCCCACTGCTCCGTTTATATAGTGTCTGAATTACTGTGCAGGAAAGGCCAGGAAACTGCATGTGAGATTTGATATGCTCACCACCTGTAACCTCAGCTGTGGGCTCTTCCCCTCTGAGGTGCACATTTGCAATTAGATTCTGGGGACAGGGCAGGCTTCAGGCCTCCGAATGTCCCTGACCCTCGTATGATCTGGTCAAGCCAAGTTTTTAGTACAGAGACATTATAAGGTGCAATATCTCTTCATGTGGTTTTTAGAGCCAAGCTCAAGGCGTAATAGGACTTGGGGTCTTATTTTGGTTTCAAACCCCCATCTTCAGATCATAGATAAAAACATAGGAGCTCTGTCAAGGTGGCCTTTAGTGGAAGCAGGCAAAACCCAGCACCTATGTTTTCTACTGCTGAGCTGGGGTGGGGTGGGGCAGAATTGCTTATTTCTGCCTACTAAAGTCACCTAATGCCGGTGACTTTGTTGGGGCCACTGATGGTGTGATCCATGACTTGGCAACCAGGAACTCTTTGGTCCTGTTGGTCCTGGTGGTACGTTCAGCATGTGACATGTACCGACTGAACTCTGCTGCCAGCTGCACTTAGTCGGGTTTAACAGTTGCTCTCCTTGTCTTATTCCCGAATTCACACAACACTTGTGGACATAGATTCCTTGAGGGGGTAAACAAAGGATGATTACATTACACATTCTGAACAGCTGGTTCAGTTCTAAAGCCATGGTCACTCCGCTGCTGCTAGGACAATGTGTCAATATCAACATTGGTCTCCGGTCTTCTGCAGCTACCTTCCAGATGGGCAGTGATGAAGTCGCGAATGATTGACACTTGGAGTTCAGGGCACAGGCCATGAGGCAGCTCTGGTTAAGCCTACCCCCACACCCTGGCATCTATTAGGTACCCTCTCTACCAGGCATTCAGGTCCATTTTGTCCTCGTTTCCAGCAATGCAAGCCTGGGTTAGAGGGCCTGTTGGGAGTCTTACAACCAAGGGGACTTAAATGTGTCTTCTGTTGTATTCTTTGATGAGTGGAAAATCGGGACTTCCAGAAAGCCAACTGTCTTCATGAGATGGCTCTAAGACAAGTTAGGTCATCTGGAAAGAGTGGCTCAGTGTTGGGGACCAGCACTGTTGCCTAGCTGTGTGCTCTACCAGGCCCACCAGCTCTGGCTGGTGACCTTCCAGGCATGACACCTGTGACTACCACCCTTTCAGACCTGCAACATCCCAAGGCCCCATCGTTGGCATGTCACAATCCCAGAGCAGCCGCTCCTGTGAAGGCTCTGTGCAAGCCTCCTCAGCTGTTGAAAGAGGTCCTGTGCCCTCAGTTTTCAACCTCACACCCTTTGAGGAAAAGGATTTGGGGGGGTTGTTCTTTTTGAGGGCTTTTTTTTTTTTTTTTTTGCTTTTATTTTATTTTGGCCTTTCCTCTGTCTTTTCACTTAGACCGGATATTTGAAAGGGCAGACGATGCTAAAGGTGTACTGTGCAGCTTGTTTAGACGTGATTTGGGGAACCTCTTACCTCGGATGGGAAATGGAATCGTGACCCTCACCCTCCCTTCCCTCCGGTTCAGTCCCTGTTGTTTCTCCTTTCAAATATGTGATTGTATTAGCTCTTTCCATATGAAAGAACTCTCCTTATTTAAATAAAAAAGTATAAAAAAATAAAGCCAAACATGCTTTCTCGGGTTGTGTCAGTTTTGCTTCTCAGTCAATGGGAAGATGGAAGAGTTCTGCTGTTCTCACAGCTTACAGATTAAGTTCCAGGACAGGCTCCAAGGCTACAGAGAAACCTTGTCTTTTAAAGATTTCACCAATATGGATAGAAGGTGGCTTGGGGGAAATGTACCAAGGTCTCAAAAAGAAATTTAGCAAAGACTAAACAACGGTCCAGACTTACTATGCAAGAAAGGGGCTGCCGATCGCACATGCAACGAGTGCTTTTAACCACTGGGCGATCTCAGGCATACTACAGTCTGGATGTCATCCAATGCAGAACTAACTTGAAAAAAAATGAATTTTGATAGCATGATTCGAGATCTGGGGAGATAGTTCAGTCGGTACAGGCAGGGCTTGCCAGCTAAGCATGAGAACCTCAATTAGAAGAACCCACCTAAAAAGGCGTACTTGTACCTATGCTGGGGAGGCAGAAGCGTAGAAACGGAACGTCAAGGCCATCCTTGGCGACACAAGTGAATCGGAGACCCTTTTCAGGGAGGGGGGGGGTACAAACAAGTGTGAGAAGAAACGTCCCGCCACTGTCTGCCCACAGTCCCGAGCGGCTTCAAAGCATTTACCCACGCCCTTCCCCAGCCAGCGCGCCGCGCGACAAGAACGCCGGGGTCGGCGCGGGAGCCACAAGCACGTGAAGAGCTTGAGGGAGAACACGGCACTTTTTTTTTTCTCATCCGCCACGCGTGCGTTTAGGGTGCTGAGACGCCGCGGGACCACTAGCTCAAGCCCGGACAGTCACCGCCTTCCGCAGGCTCGCCGGTTGGTCTCGCCGCGCACGCGCGCGCCTGCCGCTGCTCTCCCGCTGCGCGCGCGCGCCGCTGAGTGTGTCGGGACTCGCAGGAACGACTAGTTGAGCGTCGATCGGTGGGCTGTGCGGATTACCTGGCGGCCTCACCCCCAACGGTCGAGCCTGCCAGGCGGTTCGCAGGCGTGGCCCCACATGGGGAGCCACTCGGCGGGACTCGAAGAAACGCTAGTAGGTTTTGGAGTGGCAGATTCGAGAGCCCTCCTGGCGCTCAGGGATCCGACTCGGGGGTTCCGGCGGAGCGAGGGTGGTTCCAGGGCGGCCTCCGGAGAGAAACGAGCCCGGGTGGACAGAGGCTGTGGAGAAAGGGTTCGCGGCACGTGCAACTCTAGCAGGAGAGGAACGCCCCCGGGCGAGGACGGGAAGGTCCATCCAGGGCACTGGGTTACGACGGTACCCAGAACTCCCCAGAGTAGGGGTTAGTTTGCAGCCACAGCGGGAAGGGACAGGAGAGGCCACATCATTCATTAGCAGCCTCCCTCCTAGCAAGTGCGCAGAAGGTGTTTATAGAATGACTTATAGAAACGAGTGAATGTCCAGGTCTGGGTTTCCTGAATTCACCCCTCACTTGTCTTTACGTGGACCCTGTGCTTGAACACAGTAATCCTCCAAAAGATATGTTCAGAAGAGTCCTGACTTGATTAACCCACTGTACCGTAATTCTCCCTGGGTGCATCGCGCAGCTAGGTCGCTTCGGGACCCTTGTGGTCTCTTTTGAACCCCTCTGGGCTGCTGTCCGTTACTTTTAATAGGAGTTCTTCCCCTCTTTTCCAGGGTGTCCTTCCGAGCTTGCTTTTCTGCAAAATGTTGAGATTTTTTAAGCGGCCTCTAGTGGTGACTGCTGACATTAACTTGAACTTGGTGGCTCTGACTGGCCTGGGACTACTGACCAGACTGTGGCAACTCTGCTACCCTCGGGCTGTGGTGTAAGTGGAATTGGGGAGGAGGGTGTATGAACCAAGAGGCATTGTGATTAGTGATCTGAAGCATCGTGCTATACAGTGCCAAGGGGAGAGAAATCCTGGGCTTCTGGACCTCTTGGTGATGTATGTTTTAGCATGTAGTCAGGTTGACAACCAAGAGTAGTCATCACAAACAGTGTGGCTGTGGACGGAACCCCGGGAAAGCAGGAATGTAGTAAGAAAAGCTTGGTCTGATAAGAACAGTAGAAGAAATTCTAGTCCCCGCCTTAACTTTCATTCTAAAATTAAAAGGTAGAGGTTTGGTAGGTTTGAAAGGGAGCTGGTTTTGTTCATAAAGGGAAATGTAGTTACTTTGTCATAGATGTCAAGTAGAATATGGTCCCTCTGCAATAAATTCATTACCCAGCCTCTGTAACCCCCTTATAGTAGACGAGTTTGAAGCAAATCCTAGACATTATATTCCCTTTATGACTAATTCAATATATACTTCTGAAAGTTGAGGGTTTTGTTTTTTGTTTTTGTTTTTTCTTTTCCGAGACAGGGTTTCTCTGTGTAGCTGTCCTGGAACTCTGTCTGTAGACCAGGCTGGCCTCAAAGTCAGAGATTCACCTGCCTCTGCCTCCTGAGTGCTGGAATTAAAGGTGTGCGCCACCATACCCAACAATAATTCATTTTTAAGAGCTAGGGAGTCTGCAGGTGCCTTCAAAGCCAGAAGAGAGTGTCAGAGCCTCTGGGGCTGAAGATAGAGATATTTGAGAACTGCCTGACTTGAGTGCTGGGAACTGAACTTGGGTCCTCTGCAAAAGCAGCGCATGTCTTAACCACTGAGTCCCAGGATTTTTCAAAACAAGTATCACATAACCACGGCAGCATTGTCCTGCCTAAGAACTGATGTCCCCTGGTGTCTCGGTGTCTGGAAATGTGTTAGTGCAGTCCACAGTTGCTGCTCTTCCATTCATGGCTGTGAATATGTGCTGGCGGCTGCTGAGGGGACCCAACCTGAGCATGCTCAGCAGCTTGGCCAGTACATACCGAAATCAAAATCTGTGGGGAGGGTTGGGGAAATGTCTTCATGGGCGAAGTGCTTGTTCTACGGTGTGAGGACCAGAGTCCAGGTCCCAGGCGCCCATCCAGGTGCCATGTGGGCATCGTGCCCCATCTGAATCCCAGCGTACCGCTGCTCAGGCAGGGACTCACCGGAGCAAACTAACAAGCCACACTAGCCACATGGCAAACTGAAGGAGCCTCAATAGATAAAGTGGAGCGTGATCTAGGGAGACATTGGATGTCAACCTTGAACCTCCACATATGCAAGTGCACCCACATAAGAGCCCACACACATAAGTGCTCTCCCACACGTGTGCACACGTAGTGCCTGTAAGTCACATACACAGTCGTGCAGGGGAGGAAAACCAGAAAAGTAATTAGGATCCGGAGGAGACAGGCTTCCCGAATGCTCCCTGTGCTTGCTCTACTTGCCACGGAGTTGCTAAAGGTTAGATGACGGTGTGCTTATGTCCCAGTGCTTGGGGACAGAACACAATTGGAGCCTAGGATCTGACCCTGGCTCTTCACTCACCTGAAGTCAGCTAGAAACAACAAGGTTTTATTCTCCTGCCTGTGTTCACAATTACAACTTTTAGGGGACTAGAGAGACGGTTCATTGGCTTAGAGCACTGACTGCGCTTGCAAAGGACCCCAGTTTAGTTCCCAGCACCAGATGGGGGGTCACAGCCGTCTCTTAACTCCAGTTCTAGAGGATCTGTTGTCTTCTGCCCTCTGGAACACTACACACGTGATGCACAGACATACATGTATAATACCCAAACATATAAAATGGTATTTATTTATTTGGTTTTTTGAGGCAGGGTTCCTCTGTGTAGCCCTTGCTGTCCTACAGTTCACTCTGTAGACCAGACTGACAGAGATCCTCCTGCCTCTGCCTCCCAAGTGCTGGGATTAAAGGCGTGCGCCACTACTGCCTGACTAAAAAGTAAGAATTTTTAAAAGTTTAACAAGCCGGGCGTTGGTGGCGCACGCCTTTAATCCCAGCACTCGGGAGGCAGAGGCAGGCGGATCTCTGTGAGTTCGAGACCAGCCTGGACTACCAAGGGAGTTCCAGGACAGCCTCCAAAGCCACAGAGAAACCCTGTCTCGAAAAAACCAAAAAAAAAAAAAGTTTAAATAACAGTTAGGACTTCTTGTTGGATCTAAGGGGTCTGTTTGTTTTTAGTTTTGATGAAGTCTACTATGGGCAGTACATCTCCTTTTACATGAAGCGCATGTTCTTTCTGGATGACAGTGGACCACCGTTTGGCCACATGCTGCTGGCCTTAGGAGGTAGGTGAGGGAACAGATATTGTCTCTCAGGCCTGAAATATATTAAGCTTATCAAGTAAAATTTCTCAAGGGCAGAAATCCTGTCTTGTTCTCACATTATTTGTTCCATATTCTAAATTTTCTGTTTTAGGTTATTTAGGAGGATTCGATGGTAACTTTTTATGGAACCGAATTGGGGCAGGTAAGAATTTTAACTTTCCTTATTAATCTGTACATGAAATAATGGAGATAAGATGTTGTTCATAAGAACCAACAAATCCAACAATTGCCATTTATTAATATGAACTAGCATACGACTGGTTATTTGGGTTGAGTTCCAGAATAGCTAGGGCTGTTACAGAGAAACCGTGTCTCAAAAAAAGAAAAAGAAAAGAAAAGAAGCTGGGTGTTGGTGGCGCACGCCTTTAATACCAGCAACTTGGGAGGCAGAGGCAGGTGGATCTCCGTGAGTTCGAGGCCAGCCTGATCTACAGAGCGAGTTCTAGGACAGGCTCCAAAGCTACAGAGAAACCCTGTCTTGAAAAACAAAACAAAACAAAAAAAGTGTGCTTTGTGATGGTAATTATTCTATCCCTGTGGTATCTGATAATCCCTAGTTTTTATATGCCTAAGTTTATAAATGGCCACAACATTTTTAGAGCTACTTGGGGTAAATATACTAAATCAGCATTGGTCTCAGAATCCTTACTTGTCATTCCTATGCTTGGTAAGAGCTGATCCCTTTACTGTGCAAAGCTGGTTTCAAAGCAGTTTGGGCACATGGTAGTTTATGTTTCAGTCCTAGCTACCCAGAGTGAAGCAGGACAAACACCTGAACTCGGGTGTTTGAGGCCCTCTATTTTTTTCTGCGATGGGGTTTCATCATGTAGTCTT